TGGACAAAACGAGCAAGCTGGTGAGGGAGGGCGCGCTCTGTGACATCGGAAGACGGGGGGCGAGGACATGCCCGCAAAGTGTGGGGAAAATAGTGTCGGCCTGTGTCACGTGACACAGGGCGGCCCTCTTTCTTCTAAGGTTTTCTGTCGCTTTCAGTTGTTTTGGGTTGATTGTGTCCGCCGATAGTTCAACAGGCGCCAGGTGGCAAGAGAGTCTGTCAGCCGCAGCGTCTGGCCCCTGCAGCCAGAACGGTGAGGCGCTTTCGTTCGGTGTTGCGGGTAAGTGTGGCAGCTGTTTGGCTTTGACTTGGCTCAGGCGTTGCCCTTTGTAGATGAGCTGCGCGCAGTCTCACGGCGCTGCGTGTGTTGCTTCGTTCAGCCGCGTGGGTGTGGAGAGCAAAAGAGGCTTTTGGGGGATAAGTAAGAGCCGCGAAACAAACAAGGGGGGGCGGGGATGCGGGAAGCGGGGCCGCGTGTGCTGTGCGTGGCTCACAGGCAGCGCGCAGACGTGTACAAAGACGCGCAAGCAGCTGCAGCGCACCAGATGGGGGCCGCAAGGCGCGGCGGCGGTCTGTTGCTTGCGGAACTCCTTCCAAAACATGGCGGCAGGCCGTGCCGGTGTGTGTCACGTGACACAGGGCGCAGGCCTCGCCTGCGAGAATTTTCGCGGCTTTTTCTTCAGGATTTAAGTCCTTTCGGCTGGCAACTGCTGGGGTGTGTCTCTTTGCCTTGCTTCTTGTTGGTGGCAAGGGTTAGACGCTGGCGCATGTCGTTGGGAGGTCATTAGTGAGAGCGGCCCGCGCAAGACGCTTTGGCCTCTTCTCTTTCTGGGGTGGATCTGCTCTGGCGCGGCTGTTGCCGTGGCGGGGGGTTCCCTGCCTGGTGGATGCCCGTGAAGAAGTGCCCCAGATGCACTGCTCGGCGGCGTGATTTTTTCTGCTACCACGCACGCTGCTGCAGGTGTGCCGTTGCCTTCTTATCGGCATCCGGTCAAAATCTGGAGGCGGAGAGGGTAGACGCTAGCTACAACACCAACAAGAGCAAGGAGGACGCACCGCGCCGCTGGTTGTCGTCGCTGCGCAGGCTGACGCGTCGGCGCTTTATCATCGTTAGCGCCTGCAGGTGCAGGCACTGCCATGGCTGGGCCGGCTCGTTGTGAAGCTGCTTGCGGGCGTTGTTTTAGGTTGTGCGTGCCTAGTGATTAAAACAAGACTGACAGAGCCAACCAACTTGAGACAGCGCCTGCCTGCACCAGCTTGCGGCTGCGCCCCCCTCTTTTGCCTTGGGTGTGTGGTGGTGGGTTGGCTTTGTTCACGTACTTACTGCCAAGAGGCTCGGCGGCGGAGCGGCTTCGCCGTCGTTGCTTTGGGGTTTATAATTATGGTCGTGCTGCAGTTCGTCCCCCTCTTTAAAACGGCGGAGGGAGTGGCGCTGGCGTGTGTGTTTCTCGAAACTATGAGGGCAGCTGGGCTGGCTCTCTTTGTTTGCGTGTTAAGTAAAACGCGCCGGCACTCCTGTTGTGGCTGCGATCATTCATCTCGCTGAAAGGCGTGGGCATTCATCATGCAAAAGCACAGGCTCCGCCGCTGTGAATTTGTGCAGCTTTCTCGCCCACTCTCGTCAGGCACGAGCGGCGCCGCACTCACTGCGCACCCGCATAGGGCGGGGGCGCATCGCATGCAGGGGGCCGCTCGATTTCGGGCAGGTTGTGCGAGACTTCTCCCACACCATGACGCAGATGCCGCGACAGGTTTGCGCGCCTCTCAGCGGATAAGCCTGACGCAGATGCTGCGACATTTTTGCACGCCTCTCAGGGGATGGGTTTGAACCACGGGGGCACAGTGCTCGGCGGGATGGATTTGGGATTTTCTAGGGGGACTCTCTGGGGATTTTCTTCGTCGTGGTCTTTGTTGTTTTGGATGTTTGTAACGTCTGCCAGGGTCGTCGGAATCGACAGCAGCCAGGATTGGCTCAAGAAGTTGGCGCCGCTCGCGGCAAGTGCCACCTTGATTTATGCGAACACAGGGACTGTGGAAAATTTCGGAAATCCAGTGGACCCCAGCGGCGCGGCTAGCGCGCGACTGTTTGCCAACTATCCAAAGGCCATCGATCGGTTCGGGGCGGCATTTGATGTCTACCTCGTCGACGGAAGAGCCCGCGTGGCTTGTGCGGCCAGAGCGCTACTCCACAGCGGGCCGAAGTCGATTGTTCTAATCCATGATGCCGACCGGGAAGCCTGTACGCCTCTTTAAGCAGTCACACAAACCGTGGGCCGCGTGGGAAATCTGCGCGCCATTCGAAAGGCACCCGGCAACGCAGACAAATATCGCGCCTTGATGGTTTCGCATCTGGCGCACGTGGGTTTTTGAACTGAAGAGGCCTGGCGCGTCTGTCGTTGTCTGTTTTTGGCGCGGCGTGGCGTACCGACTTGGCGGCAGCGCCCTGGCCTTCTTGCGGCGGGTTCGGCTTTTTTGGCTCTCGTGGTCGGTTTGTGTCCTCTGTGGGGAAGCGCAAGGACAAGAACTGAGACCGCAGGCCTTGTAAGAACAGGGGACATTGGATTGAGACTGACAGTGACACTCTGGCTCCCTTGATCCAGTGTGGGCTTAGCGATGCCCCCAAATGGATTGCGGCTGACCCTCTGGCCATCCTGATCCAGTGGAAGTTTTTCCATGCCAAATGGATTGGGGCTGACGCTCTGCTACCTTGATCCAGTGCGAACTTAGCTATGCCTCATGGATTGAGATTGGCGCTCTGGCTATCTTGATCCGGTGTAAGCGTAGTATCTTAGCTATGCCAAGTGTGATTTTTTTCTATCTCTCTTCCTTGCGTGGGCCGCGTGGGGTGACGGTAGACGCCGGCTGCTTTGTTTCTTTGTGCGTGTTTGGTGTGTCGTTCGTCGTCTCAGCGCCTACCCCCATGCAGGTCGCTGCTTCTCTCTGTCTTCTCCAGGTCTGCGCATGGGCTAGGGCGGGGGATGGGTGGTCAGGTATTTCTCTGCCTAGACTGCGGCAGGGTGTTCATTCTTAACAAAAATGGACAGTAGTGGGCACGCCTGCAGCTATTGCAGCCAATATCTTTCGAGCCTTGGGCAAGGGGGTGGGATTTACTTGATTGGACTGAAGACGAAGGCGGAGCAAGATAAGACTACGGCCATTTCTGGGCAAGCGTCCTCTCAAGGTGTGGGTGAGGGCAGTAGGAGTGGTTTGCAGTAGAAGCGGCTAGCAGATGGCGACCTATCAAGCTAGAGCTAAAATGTGGCGCACATGTAGATGCTGCAAAAGTACAATACTGGGCGGTGTATGTAGTACTAAGTATGCAAGCTACTAGTCGTGAGTTTTGCTGCGGCGTCGGAGCAGCGTGCAGCATCTACACCAGTTCCAGCGGAGCATCGCGTCAACAAATGGGATGGAAAAGGAAGAGGTGGCGGCGGACGCCTTTCCTCCAGGTCGGCCGAACAGGATTCCAAACTACACGCCTCCACCCCATGACTTCTTCGGTGTCGTGGGGTGGTGGGTGTCGCTCATGTGTGGACTCCACTCGCCAGCGGAGAAGACCGTGACGCCTGCCGAGAGGGGTTCCCCACTACGCGGGCGATATGCTTTAGGAGAAAAGAACCCCAACAAGGACGGCAAAAACCCGGGCTGACAGTCTTCGATCTCCCTGGGCATGATCAGAACCCGGAGAACACTCGCCGCCCACTGAGCTGCTTCGAGGAAAATCCTCCCACACTAGCGAGGGAAGAGCCCCGGACACGCTGAGAACCCCCGCGCCCCTCTAGAATCCCATAGGACATGCGCCCCGCCTATTGTCTTGGACTCTGGAGAGGGCGGGGGGGCGGAGACAGACGAAACAAAAGAAGAACACGCACAAACCAGCGCCAAGCATGCTACAGGCGTCGCCAGTCGGGCCATTTCCATGAATAGGCGGCAGCAATGTTGGCCGTCTCCGTGCAGTGCTTAGAGCTAGAAAGCTGACTTCGCGCCATGCTAATCCAGCACCGCACTGAGACGCAGGGGGCAAGCGACGCACGGCACACCGTCGAAACCCAACAAAAAGTGGGGGCTGCTGGCCTCTTTCTTTATCTCTCGCGGGCCCCTTCCTTTGGCGCTGCTCTCCCTCCCATCAGCTGGGAAAACACTCAAACACTCGAGCGGGCTCATGCATTTCACTAACGTAACGAAGCCCATCCAGCTGGTTCACATACAGCGGGGCACGCTGGCTGCCTCTCTCTGGCGTGGCTGCCTAACTGAGTGAAGGGCGAAAGCTTGCGGGGGCTCCACGAGGTAGCCCGCGCAGGTGCGGGGGCTCGTGCGTGCATCTAACGAAGAGCGCGGGCTACTCTGTTCTACTGCCGAAAAATCAAGCCGCCATCTAGTCCGCAAAACACGACAAAGAGACCAATAAAAAAGGAGACTGACATGGATAGAAGGCTTCAGAACTGATTCGGCCAGTCATTTTGCATCTCCCAATGCTTTGGGCCTTTTTTTTTTGTTGTCTACTTGTCTACAAGTCCACCAGCTTTTTTTATCTACGTGGCTTGAATCGGGGACGGGGCCTGAACCTATGAACCAAGAGAAGCACAGGGACGGGGCTTGCCTTGTTGTAGAAAAGCTAGCGCGGGCCCGCGGGGCCTCCTAGCTTGCTAAGCGCGCGCCTACTGTGATGGATGTAGGAGGGGAGACGCTAGCTGATATCTTGATAAACTAATCAACAGGCTCGTGCGACGTGGGTGACGGATCGGCGAGGGGCCAACGGTAACCGCCACCCATAAGATCAGTGATAGATGGATCTTGCTGCTAGGGGACGGGGATCCAGCAACCAGAAGCGTGAGCTGATGCTTGGAAGCAAGCCTGCCGTCCGTGAAAAGTAAACACTTGGCCGCAAAGGCAGAACAATGTGGAAACGCGCTATAGCTGGTGATGGTATACTAAATGCTAGCGGTAGCTTAATGTCTCTCCCCTTATTTGCTTCTTGTGTCATTCGTTTGTTGCGGATCGGGGGTCAGCACTTTCTTGCTTTACCTGCTAGACTCTGCCGCGACCCCGTGGGGAGGAGGAATCAACTCAAGAAATAGAGTTGCAAGATGTATTTACATATTGTATTTGGTGAATTTAATGACAGCCTTCCACGCGTGAAAAATAATCAGTGATAGATAGAAGAGTACACAGGGAAAGAAATTGTTGGCGAAGTAGTGGTAGTGCTAAGCTCTATACTGGCACTGAAAAATTTCCCCAAGTCAAAGAGCTTCTTTCATTCGCGTCGCCTTCATCTGTGTCAGCCGATGGGGCCGGGGGGCGCTTCCTCGTGTTCTTGCTCTTCTTCTTTCCCTCTTCCTTCGTCACTGAGACTGAGGCGACGGGCCACATCCTTAGCGAAGCGGTGACGGCACAAAGGGCAGAGAGACTCCGACACACGGCGGGCCTCGAAAGTTGGTGGACGTTACCACACTACACCCCCCTGAATGGCGTTGCCCCTCTTCCTTATAACAGCACAATTTATGACACGGGTGACGGCTGGCACGAATGGCAGGGTTGGGACAACCCAACCAAGCCAAAAAGTGGCACGGCTGGCACAGGGTGACAGGGCTCCGCCGGTTGGCGTCCCTGGTCTTCCTTAGATGACTGGCGGATCAGCATGCGGCCCCAGCCTCAAAGTGCCCAGCCGATCCACCGCGCAGCCGGTGCGTGAGGGCGGGGACGCAGGCAAGCCGTGGCTTCGATGGCGGGCCGGGTGTGTGGCTGTCGTGAACCGCGGGCGCCAAAGGAGGGCGGCGCAAAAGCAAGGCGCCCGAAGGGCGCCCGGCTCGCGGAGGCTACTGAAGCGCAACGCCGTGGAGGGTGTGGGAGGTTGATCGCAGGGCGCCCGAAGGGCGGCCCGCGCGCGTTGGGGTTCTGAAAAGTATGCGCGCAGCATTCCGAAGGGGCGGCAACGTCGTGGGGGAGCAACGCTGAAGAACGCAGGGCGCCTGAAGGGCGCCCCGCTCTCGGAGGTCTGATAGGTTCATAAATGGCACGAATGGCGGCACAGACTGAAGCCCTGGATTGGATGCCTGCCATTCGTTCCAGCCGTTTCATTCGTGCCATGCCAACCGGGACCGGGGACCCGAATAGACTGCTCTGCTATAATGCGTCACTTGGATGGCTTGAAGCCGTTCTCCTCTCTTGCGGACAAATCCTTCTCGACCCTCGTGAGGCGTTTCGAGGTGGCGCCGGTCTCGTCTTGCGGCGCGGTTTGCGAGATGTTGATGAGCGTTATGTCTGCGCGGCTACGCGCCAAAATGTGCTCTGTCAGGCGATGGGGCGAAGTTTCTGAGTCATAAATGCGTTCACTATTAATGTTGTTACTGATAAGTAGTTCTAGTTGCACTATTAATACCGCCGGCGCGTAAAACTCTTCCGCGTGTATCTATCCTAACACGTATCCTAAACGTGTTTCGACACAAAAAAACGACGAAGCGTAGCACGATGAGGATAAGAACGTGATGAGAATCATAAGCCTGATGGTGATGCATAATATGCGCGTTGCAGCACTTGCGACAGCCTCCAAGGCGTCTAGACTACACGAGGCATACCGTGCGAGAGACGCAATTGTGCGGGCGAGCGCTACCTACTACCCTACTCAGGATGATGGACTCGAGCCCTTTACGGGTGCTCTAGTTGCAGCGCTGAACGACGACCACCCCGCCGGCAAGAACGAGACAGGGCACTTTCTTGGACTGGATGCGCACAGCTTTCGCGTTCCGCGAGCCGAAGGCCAGGCTTCCTTCCCATACGAAGACTCTTTTGATAACCAGACCGACGCTTATCGCGCGTCCCGCACGCTGAGCTTCTTGTCGAGCGCGCCGCTGATGCCGGAACACTACAATACCGTGCCGTGCGGTCTCGAACCTGGCATCGATCCAGGGTCCGTGCAAGATGCGTCCGATGGCAACGTGATCGCGGAAAGCTTGATCTTCACCCCGCGGCGGGGTCCGGAGATGGATCCTGAAGATTCGAGTAGCAACATGACCCACAGCGGGGGGAGACACTTGGTGTTATTCTTCAACTTCGCTGAAGCAGGATACTGGGGGCACATGATGTCCAACGGGTTGCCGCGTGTGGCTTTCGCGGCGGATGCAGCGCGGCGCGCAAACTACACGCTGTGGGTGCTTATTCCTGAGAAGTTCGTAGTTCACGGGTGGAAGTCTCTGGGGCAGGTGCAGGAGTTTGTGGAAATGGTGTTTCATGGGAAGTTGGTGGTTCCCGGAAAGAGTGAGCACCAGCTTCCCGCGGCTTGTCTTGGTCAAGTAGAAGAGGGTGCTGGAGACCCTGTTGAGCAGTGCAGATTTTTCTTTTCGTGCGGGCTTCCCAGCTACCATATCACCGTCCGGCAAAGAATGCATCAGCTAGCCACAAGCGCCGTCGCGGCCCACGCGGAAAGAAATCCGCGGCCTGCTTGGGCACCGAAACCCTCTGGCAGGCCGGGCCTCTTTCTGCAGCGAGGTTCCGACAGCCATAACAGCAAAGGGGACGCCTTCTCCCGCGCGTTGGCCACAAGGTTGAAAAATGAGACAGCAAGTTGGGATGTGATCGAGAACCTTGGGTCGCGTTCCTTGATGGACATCGCTGTCTACGTCCGCGACCACCGGCATTTGATGCAGGTGGAGGGTTCCGCCGGCTATCATTTGATCTGGCTCGATCCTGCTTCTCCGAATGGAAATTTTATTCCTATGTCCTTCACTGAGCTCGTCCCGAGGACCCGCCAGGACATGACCCGCTGGCTCTGGGCCAAAATTATCGGCTTGGAGTATTACTTTATGCTGTATGAGAAGAACGAGGCAGACGAAATTAGGTTTTTCAGCAAAGCGTTGTCGCTGGTGGGAGCACAACCACAACCACTGTCGCGGCAAGCGATACGCCTCTTACGATACGATCGATCAGGACGTAGCACTGGTCTTGGATCCGGTTAAGGTTGTGCTAGATTTTTCCGGTGTCAACAAGTCCACAACCTAGCGCACAACCGGCCCACGAAGTAGTGTCACTGCGTGACCAGGGGCAAGAGTGCCGGAAGGCTGTAGTCTGTTGAGAAGATAAATGTCCAGCTACCGCACCTGGGTGCTGGCAAGAACCTATCTCTCTCCTGGCACTGTTCGGTGCCTACAAAGAGAAGTCTGACGGGCCTCGTGCTCTTCTTGAGAATTTAGATTTATCTGGGTATAGGCGTTTGCCGGCTTAACTCTAGTGGCTGTCCCCGCGAAGGTGTTTCGGCCTCCTTTCTGCTCGTGTTCTACTTCAGGCTCATGACATTATTTAAACGTTGCACGCCTGCTTCCACGTTGTTCTCCATGGTGCGCGCTGGGTCGTCGTGTACTATCAATTTGTGTATGATTTCGACTTCGACACAAAAATATTTATTGTATTTCAACACGTGAATAAGTGCGCTTATAATATAGTGATGCTATTATATGCGAGAAGCTAGAGCTACGAGTACAACTCATAATCATCGTGCCGCAGTAGTTCATCTTGATGATGTGTGTCTGGTTCCTCTCGTAGCCGCAAGAAAGACAGAGGGACATGGTGAAGGCCTTCGCGGAGACCGAGGGCAGACGCAGAGGCGGAGAGTGCCGCACGCTAAGGCCAAGCCTCGAGGTGCGCAGGACCATGCGGGAGGAGAGCACTCCGCTACCGCAGTCATAGGCGATGCCGCCGTCACCACTCTCGCAATCGGCGAGGAGTGCCAGGCCCGCCCTAAAAAGTACTCGTGAAAAAAGTACTCGTACTTCTTGGGTTTAGCTGCAGCAAGCGACAAAACGCGTCCACGAGCAGAGCGAGTTACTCACAAACAAGCTGGACAACGAAAAGCTGCTGCGCGAAACGGTCGTGCAAGTGGAGGAGAGCCGGAAGCTTGAGGTTGAAGAGTTCGAAAAAAGACTTGACGCCGCGGAGCAGGAGCGATTGTCGAGACTGGCAGCTGCGGCTGAGGACCTAGCTTGCCAGCAAGAAGAGCAGGAGAGAGAGCGGAAGCACCTGGAACTGAATTTTGACGGGATGCGCGCAACGTATGAAGAAGAAGTCGCGAGGCCCTCCATCGCGTTCGGGATCTGCTGCAGGGAGAAAATGCCGTGTTGCGCGGGGAGCTGCAGCTGATGAAAGAGAGCGTCTCCTCTCTCAACGGAGCGGACGATCACGGCTGCCACGCGTGTGAAGGCGAAGAGAATGTGTCCATGAGTCTACCCGCGGTTAGGTTTGTGGAGCAGAGCACGGGGGATGACGAAGGAATGGAGGCGCGCGACGAGCCCGCGCACAGCTTGGATCCAGAGGAGCCGGCGCTGCGTCCGCAGCCGCGACGATCTTCGGCGGAACTGAAGCTCCTGTCCGCTCGCGGAAGCAGCACGAGCGCATTTCTGCGTTCGTCTATCAGCAGAACGAGGCAACAGGAGAACCAGTTCTCACAAACAGACTTCGAGGACCTTCTGAACTACGACCCCGAAAAGAACCACTCGCTTTCACCTACTTCTGGCAAAAGTAGGGGGGATACTTTCGTTGTCTTGCTTGTGCTGCCTCTTTTCGTTTTCCAGTCTTGCATCTTTTCCCCTTCAAGTCTTGCGTCTTTGCCAAAAAGCAGCTCCAACCTTTGAAGACGTGAAGACCCGAGGCCACCTATTTCCGCGAGCGAGACACGCCTAGGACCTGCATATCAGCTGGTCTTTGACGGTTGTAGAGAGAATCCCGCAACCGTCAAGACCAAAGAGCTTCAGCGGAGTTGCGCGGAGTCACGCGCAGTGGCAGTGCCTTCTCGGTGCGGGGTGACACGCGCGCAAGCTCCAGCGTGTCCGTGCTCGACTTCGTCCACTTCGGCAGCTCCGTTTCGCTTCGTCGCTTCCAGCGGCTTGGCTCGGCGGTTTCCGCTCTTGATGCTATCATGCTGGGCAGCTCCCTGAGCTTGCGGCAGTACTTCCGCGTCGGTTCGGGTCTCAGCGCTCGTGGAGTTCTGGCGGCCGCGAAGGCCGTTTTGTCGGTCGCGAACTACGCCAACGTGGGCAGCAGCTTGAGTGTACGCGCGGTTCTTCGTGCGGGAAGCCGCGCTTCCGTCCTGGACTTCCTCAACCTGGGCTCGTCCGTTTCGCTCCGCGACATGGTGCGCCTCGGCTCCGGGGTGTCCGTCCTCGGCAGTGTCGGAGCGGGAAAGCCGCTTTCGATGCTCAGCTTCTTCGAACTCGGAAGTTCGCTCTCGGTGCGCGCCAATATGCGTGGCGACAGCCGGGCCAGTGTGCTGGACGCCATCTGCCTGTAGAGCACCTTGAGTCTGCGTGCGCACACGATGGTGGGAAAGAGCCTCACGCTTCGCGGCCTCGCCACCATCGGCAGCGTCTGCAACGCTTCGGTCATCAACTTCGCGCATATGTCCTCGTCACTCTCGGTTCGCTCCTTCGTGCGCTTCGGCAGCGCGATCTCCGTTCTGGACTTCGCATTGACGGGCAGTTCAGTCTCGTTGCGCAACTTCTCGAGGTTTGGAAGCTCGCTATCGGTCTTCTCAACCAGCGCAGGGAAGACGCTTGGACTGCACACGGACCTGTCAGTGTTGGACGCAGTCACGCTGGGCTCCTCGCTGAGCGTGCGCAGCCACATGCGCACGGAAAAGCGCGCCTCGGTGCTAGACTGCTTGTCTTTGGGCAGCTCGCTCTCGCTGCGCGGGTTCACGCGCGTCGGATCCGCCTTTTCGGTCCTTGGCGGTTGCCGTGTGGACGCCGGAAGCCGTCTCTCTGTGATGGACGCAGTCAGACTGGGCTCCTCGCTCAGTGTGCGAAGCCTCATGCGCTTCGGCGCCGAAGCCTCGGTCCTGGAGGCGGTAGCACTGGCTAGTTCATTGTCTCTGCGCAGCTTCACGCGTCTCGGCAGTTCGCTCTCGGTCTCGCTCGCTTGCCATCTGGGAGCGCAGCTCACAGTCCTGGACCACACCGCGTTGGGTAGCAGCATCAGCGTGCGCGCCGTTTCTTGCCTCGGTTCTCGTGCCTCCGTGCTGGATACGCTGGCTTTGGGGTCGACGATATCGATGCGAAACTTTGTGCGTGTGGGCTCGAGCCTCAGCATCCAGGGCAGTCTCTTCGCCACCGGCACGCGGGTGTCCGTGGGCAGCGGCCCGTCCGCCAACGACGCCTCCTTATCCATTCGCTCCACTGTGCGCTTCGGAAGCAGCGCCTCCATCTTCGACTGTTGCAGACTCGGTTCCTCGCTGAGCTTGCGCGCCTTCGCCCGGCTCGGGTCCACGCTGTCGGTGCGCGGCCTCACTGAGTTCGACTCGGTTGCGAAGCTCTCCGTGGTCACCTACGTTGACTTGGGCAGCAGCGTCAGTCTCAGGGACTACATGCGTCTGGGATCCTCGTGCTCCTTGCTAGGAAAAGCCCGCTTTGCGGGAGAATTGAGCGTGCTTGACCGCACCGCGATGGGCAGCTCTTTGAGTGTGCGCTCCACATCGCGTATGCGCAGTTCGGCGTCCATCTTTGCTTTCCTAGCGCTGGGAAGCAGCTGCAGCGCACGTAGCTTTGTGCGACTCGGCTCGTGCGCCTCTGTGCACGGCTTGATCCGCTTCGGCTCCTGCGCACAGCTCTCCGTCATCGATCGCGTCAGCTGCCGCTGCGGCAGCTCGTTGTCAATCCGCTCTACCTCACGCTTGGGTCATTCACTCTCGGTGCTGGACGTTGTCAGCATTGGCTCTACAATCTCCGTCCGTGCCGCGCTTCGATTCGGCAGTGCGCTCTCCGCCTACACGGGAGCACAAGTTGGCGCGCGCTGCTCGGTCCTGAGCCAGCTCACGCTCGGTTCCGCACTTTCGGTGCGCGGACGAGCACTTGGTGGAGCTCGCGTCAGCGTTTTGGACTTCCTGCACCTCTCCTCCTCGATGTCGCTACGGGATGCTGTGCGGCTGGGTTCCTCGTTGTCCGTTGTCGACGCGTGCCGGAGCAGCAGCAACGTCAGTCTCCTGCAGTACGCGCAGCTCGGCTCGTCGCTCTCTGTGCGTGCCGGCTCGCGCCTAGGAATGGGTCTTTCCGTGCTTGGGTACGTGGGTATCGGCAGCTCCTTGTCCGTTCGCAGCACGAGCTCTCTTTCTAAACGCGCTTCTGTCCTCGAGTTCATGCAGCTTGGAAGCAGTGTTTCGTTGCGAGCGGTCTCACGCTTTGGATCTGCGCTCTCCGTGCTTGCGAGCGTCCCTGGTCAGGGTACGCTCTCGATCCTCAACTCCGTGTCGATGGGCAGCAGCTTGTCGTTGCGCAGCTGCGGTCGCGGTCACTACGTGAGCAAGCGAATCAGCGTGCTCGACTACTGCCAGATGGGCAGCACATTGTCGCTCCGTCAGCACTGCGTCGTCGGGTCGCATGTGTCCGTCTTGGATCTCTTCGAGAGCGGCTCGGCGCTTTCGGTGCGCAAGTTCGTGCGCCTCGGCTCCTGCGTTTCCACGCTCTCGAGCGTGCGCCTAGGAGCGCAGTTCTCGGTCTTGCAGGGCTGCCTCATCGGCAGTTCCTTGTCCGTGCGCGCGACGAGCCGCGTGGGCCAGCGCTTCAGCATCCTGGAATGCCTGGCGTTGGGCAGCAGCTTGTCCGCCCGCGCCTCGTTACGCATGAACACCGTCTGTTCGTGCCACGGCGCCGTGAAAAACACCCTGGGAAGCGTCTTGCAGGTTTCCGTGATCGACCGAACGCTTTTGGGCTCCTCACTCTCCATCCGGTCCACAGCACGTACAGGAAGTCGCCTTTCGGTGCTCGACTTCTTGCAGGTCGGTTCCTCCCTCAGCTTGCGCGCGCTCGCACGCCTCAGCAGCGGCGTTTCGGCCATTGGCGGTCTGCCTTCGGGCGTGCAGGGCACGTTCAGCGTGCTCAACCAGGTGACCTTGGGAAGCGCACTCTCGCTTCGCAGCGTCCTGCGCCTGGGCTCCCACTGCTCGACGTTGAGCTACGTAGAAATCGGGAGCGCCATGTCCTTGCGCAGCATGTCACGATGTGGCAGCAGCTTTTCGCTTAACGGGAAGTTTCCCATTGGCGATTCGCTCAGTCTAGTAGACCGTACGGCGCTGGGTTCGAGTCTAAGCATCCGTTCCGCATTGCGTCTCGGAGCGCGCGCTTCGGTCTTCGCGTTCCTCGATTTGGGCAGCAGCGTGTCCCTACGCGCGATGAGTCGGCTCCGCTCCTCCTTCTCGGTCAGCGGAAGCGCCGTTTTGCAGGCCGGTTTGTCCCTGCTGGATCACATTAGCGTTGGCAGCTCTCTCTCGGTGCGCTGCAGCGGTCGATTGGGCGCGCGCGCGTCCGTGCTCGACCTGTGCACGTTGGGCAGCACCCTGTCCGTGCGCCAGTTCACGCGTGTGGGCTCCGCACTTTCGGTACGCGGTCTAGCTGCAGTCGGTTCTTGCCAGCGGCTCTCCGTGATCAAGCAAACCGAACTGGGCAGCTCCTTGTCGGTGCGTTCGCTTGTGCGCCATGGATCGCGCTGCAGCCTGGTCGACTTCCTCTGCTTGGGATCCTCGATCTCGACGCGATCCCTCGTTCGGTCCGGAAGCTCCGTTTCGGTGCTAGCAGGTGCCCGCATGGGCATGAAGATGTCGGTTCTGCAGTTCGCGCATCTCGGCTCCTCACTATCAGCTCGCGCAGCGACGAACCTCGGACATGCGACTTCTGTTTTGCACTTCTTGCATTTGGGAAGCTCGGTGTCGCTCCGCGCCGCCGTTCGGTTCGGCTCCTCGTGCTCCGTGCTGGGATCGCTCCACGCGGGTGGGGCTTGCAGCGTCGTACAGCAGGTAAACGTGGGCTCTTCGCTCTCGGTGCGTGCCGTCTCTCGCATCAGCGGCAGCCGCGGCGCTTCGGTCCTGCACTTCTCCGAACTCGGCTCCTCGTGTTCGATCCGCTCGTTCGTGCGCCTGGCCTCCGGTTGCTCCGTGATCGGCACAACGGCATTCGGCAGCTGCCTCCGACTCTCGGTTCTGAACCAGCTGGACTTGGCCAGCTCCCTGTCCGTGCGATCACACGTGCGAATCGGCAGCCGCGCCTCCGTATTGCACTTCCTGCATCTCGGCTCCACGCTCAGCGTGCGCGATATAGTCCGCGTTGGCTCCGGCATGAGCGTTCTCGGACACAGCCGTTTGGGCGCGGGCGTTTCGGTGGTGGACTGCGCGCACTGCGGCAGCACACTCAGCGTCCGCAGCTTCATGCGCTTCGGCTCGCAGTGTTCCGCACTCACCTTCGTGTGGCTCGGAAGCTCGCTTTCACTGCGCAGCTTCGCTCGCAGTGGCAGCTCCCTCAGTGTCCTAGCAGAAGCTCGTCTTGCAACTGCTCTCTCGACGTGCCAGTGCGTGCACTTGGGCAGCTCGCTTTCGGTGCGCGGCAGTGCCAAGGTGGGCAAGGCCTTGTCCGTGCTCGACTTCCTCAACTTGGGCTCCTCGATGTCGGTCCGCGCCTTCGCGCGTCTCGGCAGCAGCGTAAGCGCGATTGGCGTGATGGAATTTGGATCACTCTACCGGATGAACGTGCATGACCACACGCATCTTGGGTCCTCGCTCTCCGTCCGCAGCACGCATCGATGCGGCAGTCGCTGCAGCGTGATGGAGTTCCTGCACTGCGGCAGCTCCGTTAGCTTGCGCGCGGTCTCGCGCATGGGATCCGGCCTCTTCGTGTGTGGCGGCCCCTTGCGTTTGAGCGTCGATCTCTCCGTTCTGGATTCAGTCACGTTCGCCTCCTCCTTGAGCGTGCGTGGCTACGGACCCCGGCCGGGCGGTTCCAAGGGCGCCTCCGTGTGCCAGTTTGCAGCGCTTGGAAGTTCGCTTTCGATCCGTTGTGCTGCGCGCGTAAGTTCGCGTGCCTCGGTGCTCCAGTGCCTGGCGTTGGGATCGTGCCTGAGCTTGCGCCAGATGACACGTGCTGGCAGCAACCTATCCGTGCTCCTCGGCGCACGGTTGCAGGCCCAATGCAGTATGTGCCACCACGCGCATCTCGGCAGTTCCTTGTCGGTTCGCAACAATTTCCGCCTAGGCAGTCGCGCATCCGTCTTGAACTATCTGAACCTGGGCAGCAGCATCTCGATTCGCAGCTTTATTCGGTACGGCTCGTGCCTCTCGCTCACCGCGGACGACGAGATCAACCGCGTCTCGGTATCGGACCTGATCGCCTTCCAGGGCCAAGCCTCGGCTCGCGCGTCCACCAAACTCGGCTCCAGACTGTCTGTGTTTGACGCCTTCGTTTTGGGCAGCAGCGTCTCGCTGCGTGCGGCTCTGCGCCTGGGAAGCACCGTGAGCACCCGCGGTCTTGTCTACGTGCCAAAGGTGGACAACTCAGCCTCCGTGATCAACTTCGTGCACATCGGCAGCTCCCTCTCGGTGCGCGGCCGCTCCAAGGTATCGGAGTGTGTGTCCGTATTGCACTTCTTGCAGCTGGGTTCCGCGCTCTCCTTGCGGTCCTTCTGCCAGGTGGGCTCCGGTCTCTCCGTTCTCGGCGCTGCGAAATGCAGCATGACCGCGAGCGTGCTGGACTCCGTCCACATCGCGTCCTCATTGTCGCTACGCGGATGCGCGCTAACGTCGGCAGCGCCCACGCGCGGTTGCTCCGCGATCTGCTACGTGCACATGGGCAGTTCGCTGTCGGTGCGCAGTGCCGTTAGAATCGGAACGCGACTCTCGGTGCTGGACTTCCTCTCCATGGGGTCCAGCCTCAGTTTGCGCGATTGCGTGAGATTCGGAAGCGGCCTCTCGCTCTTCAAGGGCGTTGACTCGGTTACCCCGAACTGGAACGACAAGTCCATGAAACTGGGTGGCGACTTGTCCGTGTTGAACGCCGCTTCTTTGGGCTCCGCGCTGAGCATCCGCGCCCAGCTCCACGTCGGCGCGTCGCGCGGAAGCACCAGTGCGTTCGAATGGGTCACACTCGGATCTTCATTGAGCGTCCGCAACGTGTGTCGACTGCGCGCAAGAGTCAGCGTGTTGGACTTCGTGAACATCGGAAGCTCGCTTTCTCTTCGCAGCGGGTCCATATTCGGCCAGCACATTTCTGTCCTCGAGTATGCGCAGTTGGGATCCTCGCTCAGTGTGCGCGGCGCCGCGCGCGTTGGACGTGGTGGTCGAGGCAGCTGCTCGCTGCTCACGTTCCTGCAGGTGGGAAGCTCGCTCAGCGTTCGCGGCATCACTCGATGCGGCAGCCGGGTTAGCGTGCTCGACTACATGACGCTGGGTAGCACGTTCTCGGTGCGCACGCACACGCGGCTTGGCAGCGCAGCCTCCGTCTGTGGCAGCGTCGTTGCGCGCACCGCGGGACAGGCCATCTCGGTCTTCAATTTTGTAAATGTCGGCAGTTCGCTCTCGATTCGCGCCAGCAGTCGGCTGCCAAAGCGCTGCTCCGTCACTGACCTGCTGAACCTTGGCAGCACGCTGAGTATCCGCAGCTTCTCAAGGCTTGCGTCTACAGTTTCAGTCCACGGCTTGACCGCGGTCTACTCCTGCAGGCAGCTAAGCGTAATCAATACCGCACATCTAGGAAGCTCGCTATCCGTGCGAGGGCACGTGCAGACGGGCAAACGGTGTTCGGTGCTCAGCTACTTCCAGCTCGGCAGCAGCCTCTCTCTCCGCTCGGTCCGCCCATTGCCGTGCGGTAGTGTACTCTCGGTCGCGGACTGCGCAATCTTGGGCAGCTCCATGTCTGTTCGGCACTTCGCGCGATGCGGCTCCCGACTCAGCCTCGTTGACGCATTTACGCTCGGCAGCTCGCTGAGTGTGCGCTCGGCATCGCGTACGGCTGGTCGCCGCGTGTCCGTCCTCGACTGCTGCTTCATGGGCAGTTCCATATCGCTCCGCAGCTTCGGTCGTTTGGTCAGCGCGCTCTCGGTGCGTGGTCTGTGCTGGGGTGCGGGCGCGGTGTCCGTGCACCAGGGCCTCCTTGGCGGAACAAGCCTTTCCGCGAAGCAGTTGGTAAAACTGGGATCTACGCTGTCCTTGCTGAAGTGCTGCGTGATGGGTTCCGACTTGTCGCTACGCGCCTTCACACGGCTCGGAAGCAGCCTCTCGGTGATCACAGGTGCGGTCTTAGGTAGCGTCCAGCACGTCTCGGTGATCAACACGGTGCACTTGGGCAGCAGCTTGTCGGTACGCGGTTGCGCGCGGGTATTCGGGCGCAAAGGTTGCAGCGTCACGGACTTCTTGCAGCTGGGTTCCTCGCTCTCCCTGCTCGGAGGAAACTGCCGCTTCCCGAGTACGCTGTCCTTGTTTGACTTGATGCAGCTCGGCTCCTCGGTCTCCCTGAGGAGCCACTGCCGTATGGGCAGTGGTATCTCGCTCTACGGCGCCTCCAACACGGCACGTTTGGCCGCCGACCTCTCGATCATCGACAGCGTCGCATTAGGAAGCTCCCTTTCCTGTCGCGGATTCGCACCCAGAATACAGTCTCGCGTGTCGGTTCACAACATGCTAGCGCTGGGCAGTACGCTCTCCTGCCGCTCCTACACGCGACTGGGCAGTGCGCTTTCCGTTCGCGGACTCGTTCGCGGCAGCAGCAACAACGAGAAGTATTTGGGCGTCGTCGGCTGCACCAGCGTCCTTGCCTTTGCACACCTGGGCGAGAGCCTCAGCATCCGCGCCTTGGGCCATCGCGGCCAGGGTGGCGGAGCACAGGGGCTCACGGTCTTCGACTGCTGCAGACTTGGCAGTTCCCTGTCCGTGCGCAGTCATATCCGCATCGGCGGTGCTCGTGCGAGCGTGCTCAGCTTCTTCGACCTGGGCTCCTCGGTTTCCGTGCGCAACTTTGTGCGGCTGGGCAGTTCTCTTTCAACATTGACGGAGTCCCAGCTGGTTCCGCGATACCAAAAATCGCGTAAGTTCGGAGTGGGCGACAGCCTCTCGGTGGTCGATTCCGTCACCCTGGGATCTGCGTTCTCGCTGCGCGCGTACAGCCGACTGGGGAGTGCCCTTAGCGTGCTCGAGTTCGCGACGCTCGCGAGTGCAGTGAGTCTACGCAGCTTCGCGCGCCTGAGCAGCACTTTGAGTCTGCACACCGGTCTCGTCTCCTTCGGCTCGGCCTGCAAGGGTCACCAGGCGGGCTCCAGCTGCTTGTCGGTCCTCGACTTCGTGTCACTCTCTAGTTCCCTCTCCGTGCGCGGTGGGGTTCGCGCGGGCAAGCGAGTCTCCGTTCTAGACTTCTTGCCATTGGGCAGCTCCCTCTCAGTACGCAGGTTTGGTGCCTGTGGATCACGCGCGAGCGTGCTTTCCTTCCTCCAATGCGGCTCCTCACTCTCGCTCAGAGCGGCTTGCAAGACGGGTACAACTTACCTTAAGTCTTATAGTACAAGTAATTATAGTTATGTATACAACTGCAATTGGAATTGCTTTTGCTATCTACTTTCCGTCTAGGAGCTAGCAATAGCATACATCAACTCCTTCTAGTACAAATCCAATGTAAAGATTAGTGTTAGTTACAACGAGCCACGATGTGCAGGGCCCATAACCTAACCTAACCTAGCCTTATTGTGATGCCCCACCATGAGCATGACCACAACAGGTTCTTCCGTTTCCGTGGCTGGCGTTGGACGTTTGTACGGCGCCAAGCTGTCTGTGGTGAACTTGATCCACCTAGGAAGCTCGCAAAGCCTTCGTGCGTTCGCACGTTTAGGAAGCTGCGTATCGATGCAAGGAGGATTGATTGCGAACGGCCTTTCTGTGCTGCCTGCGCACTGTCGCGGACTCGGCAGTTGCCTGTCGGTGCGCTCTTTTGTGCGGGTTGGCTCCGCTCTGTCCGCCTACGGGCGCAGCAGTATGGGATCCACGTTGTCGGTTCTGCAATTCACCTGCATGGGAAGCTCGTTGAGTGTCCGCGGAAATTGCGGTCGCATGGGTGGGAAGAATTTCTCGGTGCTGGACCTGCTCGCGTTGGGCAGCTCCGTGAGTGTTCGCGCTTTCTCTCGACTGCACTCGACGCTGTCCGTCCACGGCCGATTGGACTTGCCTTCCGCCTACATCTTGTCCGTGGTCAATTGCGCGTCCCTGGGCAGCTCCCTGTCCGTCCGCAACTTCTCAAAGACCGGATTGCAAATCTCCGCTCTCAACTTCGTGTCCTGCGGCAGCTCACTCAGTGTGCGCGGCGCTGTTGCGTCGCTCGCAGGACGTCGTAGCGTGTCGGTCCTAGACTTCCTACACCTTGGAGACACTCTGTCCGTCCGCAGCTTCACGCATAAGGGCGGTCCGCCACGCGTCTCGATATTCTCCCACTTCGAACTCGGCTCCTCACTCAGTGTACGATCCAGAACACGCCTCGGCAAGGGTCAATGCTCGGTACACCTATAAAAACTAACTTTCTTGACGACAACAAACTTTTCAGGATGAAGAACTCAAACGCAATCTAACTACAAGTCAAAAATGCTTAATTAGATTTAGAACACATATTCAACACGTCGATCTTCAATACTTTAACACAAGCGAAAGAACTGCATTAGCACCTGTACCTGTTCCTCGTCGGGCTTTTCCTTGTTCACGACCATCTTCACCACTCAACAACAACCTCCACTTTTCCACCAACAACACTATCACCACTCTGTTACCCACCACTTCCACAACCACGATAGGTGTTTGATTTCTTTGCTGTCGGGAGTAGTTTGAGCGTCCGATCCAGTACTCGTTTCGGTGACCGTCTCAGTTTGCTGGATTGCTTGTCATTGGGAAGCTCTTTGAGTGTACGAAGCACTACGCGCATCGGATCTAGAGCATCCGTGCTCAATATGCTGCACGTGGGCAGCGGAATGAGTCTCCGGTCATTCACAAGACTTGGAAGCTCTTTGTCGTGCATGGGCAACATTGCAGTGTCAAAACAAACCTCCATATTGGACATGGTCCGTTGTGGATCCAGCCTGTCCATGCGCTGCGCAGCCAGAATCGGTAACTACAACTAAGTACCTACTCCGACATCGAGCACTACAATTATATGTAATGACATTTACAACAAGAGCTGTTTACAGTGAGTTGTAGAAGTTTATTTAGTAAAATAAACATCAATCATTATCATTTATTAGCCAAATTTCTACATCAACTAAACTAAATCTAAAGCACATCAAAACATCATCTATCCAAAATAACGTCGATTCCTACAATGAATGACCCAGGTTCTCGTGCATCGGTCTTGAACTGGTTGCAGTTGGGTTCGGGTGTGAGCTTGCGCAGTTTCGCGCGTGCCGGCAGTAGTTGCAGTATTCTCGGCCGCACTGCCTTGGGATCCGTGTTGCGCCTCAGCGTAATCGAGACAGTATCTTTGGGCTCTTCCTTGTCCGTTCGGGGATACAAAGCTAGCGTATGTGGTCGCTGTTCGATCTTCAACCTTCTTGCAGTAGGCTCCACGCTATCAATGAGGGCTCTGCAGAGAGCAGGATCCAACTTGAGCATACTAGGTATACAACTTTTTTACTCTGTATTTGAGCATACAACTTACGGTAGGTACAGAACTACCTTACGCCATTTTATTTAGATTTACCATCTACATGGTTATGATTTTTCACTTTACGAACAGGTCAATAACATTTTTATCATCTTCTACTACACGAAACCGAATTTATATATTACTTGTACTTGTAGGGCATCTAAATCTATTGCTATGTGTCCTACCATCTCCAACATCAGGCAACGCGAATATTGGACGCAGAATATCAGTTTTGGATACAGTGGAAATTGGAAGCTCACTCTCAGTGAGATCAGCGTCGAGAATCGGCACACGAACATCCGTCCTGGATCTCCTACACTTAGGTATAAGAACTTACGGCTCTTCTACAACACTTAGGTGCAATTTATGTTTCTTCGACAAATGGGTACAACTTGCTTGTCCCCACATCACAACTTCCGTCGTGTTCGCCCGTTGATTTACTTGAAGATTAGAATTAGTCCCCTTTCTTGAAATCAATAAGTTTTTCATTCATCTCCATCTCACTTTATTTGGCTCCATTTGTTTCTTCATCATAATATACAACACAGGTTCCAGCGTTTCGTTGAGAGCATGTTCACGGTTAGGAAGTTCTATCAGCGTTCGCGGCAACTTCCAGCAAGGAGGCGCCATCAGCATCGTCGATCAAGTTCGGCTCAGCTCATCCTTATCAATACGTGGACCTGGTATGATTGTTACTTACTTTTAGTACTGTTAGTTACTTACTACTTTGCTTTTTCTACTTATGTCCGCTCCACCGCAACTATTTGATACTTACTACTATTATTTCTTACTACTTCTACACTTAGTACTACTATCATGATGATGCCAATATGATTTCATTGCTACAGCAACAACTTTGATGAACTTCCATTCATTAGTAATTGGAGACACAACAAGTACACGCACAACAACAAGAACTTCTATCGAGAACTACTTCTATTCGAGAACTACTTCTATAATCGATTATCTTCATAAACCTTTGGTACAACAAGTACATGCACATGATCATCCTCACCAGGTCGTCTGCGCCATCGCGTGAGCGTATTTGACCTCCTCAATATCGGAAGCAGTGTCTCCATCCGCCAATTCGTCCGACTCGGCAGCAGTGTCTCGGTATTTTTTTGGATATTCTGAAAGTTGCAACGGCAAGTTAGTTGTAAGTAGTGCCTGCACTAACAACTAAGTGTATAATTTACATCGATCTTCATTTCATGACAGATACTAGGTGGTCCACAGCACATATCAATTTGTCATTTAATCTTAACCATAGGTATCTGGGAGCCCATTACTGCCACGTGTAGCGGATTTGTCAGTCGCGCAGTTCACCAAGTTGGGAAGTTCTCTTTCCGTCCGCTCCTTCGGACGGTGTCGGTCGACATGCAGTGTCCTAGAGCATGTGCATCTTGGCTCAACTGTCTCTATGAGAGCCATTGTCAGGTACTTCAATTTATTTTAGAAGGTTTTTGTTACCGAAGAGTAGTTGGAGTTCACAATAAAAATTGAATACTAGTAATTTAGAATAAGTCATCAACTTCTTGTTCTACAAAAAATAATCAAAATGTTCTCAATCTCATCTACTATTGCATTAGTCCGGTCTTGTAGTACAACCACCAGCACATCCTTCCTTTATTTCCTCCCTTTATTGGGAAATACTGTGAGCTTCTCAACATCATGATCAAGATCGTGAAAATCAATGCTTAAAACTCTTTGGATAAGTAAAAAAAAATCTTGGCATGTTCCTCTTTCCTCGAACTATCAGGTTGAGTTCCAGCGTCAGCGTGGCGTCTTCTGTGAGATGCGGTACTGCTGGTTCCGCGGATAGACAACTTACTAGTGTCTTGGGCTTCGCGCAATTAGGCAGCACTTTGTCCTTGCGCTCCCACGCTTCGTTGCCGGGTCTTCGCGGTTGCAGTGTCTTCAATTTCTTGCAGATCGGCAGTTCCTTTTCGGTCCGCGGGATGGCGAGGGTGGGCAGCAGTTGCTCCTTCTACGGCAACGTGCGGGCTGGCGGTTCTCTGTCGCTCCACGCGCTGTCGACGTTGGCCTCCTCGTTGAGCATCAGAAGCTTCTGCAAGCTCGGTTCGCGACTCAGTGTCCTGGATCACCTTTCCTTAGGCAGCTCGCTGTCCACGAGAGGACGAAGGTTCGGCGTCGCGTCGCGCGCGTCCGTGTTGGACTTCGTCAATGTGGGCAGCGGGATTAGTCTGCGGTCCTTCCTGCGGCTGGGCTCGAGCCTGTCGGCGCAGAGCTCCGTTCGCCTGGGCCTTACCGCGAACGTGCGCGAAGTGTACATTGGCGACAACAAGATCCGCTACTCGTCTCAGTCCGGCGCCAGCGAGAACAACGCGCTGCACACGTTGACGGACGAAAGTTCGGCACCGGCGTTGAAGCTGCTGGTTAACAGCGGCAACGACGTCGCGATCGCGATGGAGTATGGGAGTGGAACTCCCACGGGCACGGCCAGTGCAGTCACTGGCGCATGGGGCCACCTGAAGGGCACGTGGACAGTGGAGAATTCTCTCACGACCTCCGATCGCAGGCTCAAGCAAAACATCAAGCCGCTTTTCCGCGAACTGCAGGAGTTGCAGGGAACAAGTAGTAGAGGCGGCGTGCTGACAAGTAGAAGTAAAACGACGCAAGTACACCAACATGCGGCAACTACATCGGCAAATAGCACAAAGACGAGAGACCCAGAGGAGGTACTACTTATACATAGATACAACTTCTACTGCTACTTGCTGTACTAGTGTATAGAACTCGTGGTCGAATATTAGATGAGCAGAAATCTAAATCATGATCATCATCATCAAATATTCTTGTGAGGACTCATAATGAAAAGGAACAAGCAGAAACAAAGATCATCAGGCCTTCTGCTGCTCTCCTAATGATCCCATACTCCTCATAGAATCGTGACCAACACCACTTTGACCAGGTTATTTCTTCGTCCGATGCAGAAGATGAGGTAGGAATTTTGTTGATTCGCAAGCTGAGACCTGTGAGCTTCCACTACAAAGATGGTGTGGAGAGCAAGTTATCGCGCTTCGGTTTCGTTGCTCAGGAGGTGGAAACGGTTCTGCCAGCACTAGTATCGCAAGCCCCGAGTGGCTACAAGGTGCTCAACTTGAAGGACTTGATCGCGGTTCTCACTCTGGGACTCCAAAATCTAGAGACAAAGACTTCTTCAGTTGCAGCAGGAAGTTTGGAAGCAAAGATTTCAAACCTTGCAACTACCGTGGATGCAGACGACAAGAGTCTGAAGACTCGACTCGTCCGTTTACTCGAAGACGTGAAGACGGAACTAGAACACGAGGACCCTTCACGAGAAGTAGAAGACCCTGTCCATGGAAAGAACAGTAGTCCTCGTGGAAAGAACAGTAGTCCTCGTGGAGAGAACAACTCAACTTCTTCTAGCTCTACTATGTCCACATCTGCGCCGTCTACAGGCTCGCTGACCACGACGTTAGACGTGGAATCAGAGGAAGCCGCTGCTTGGATGCCGTTATTGGAGCGGCTGCTTCGAGAAGCTGACATCCAGCTGGTCCAAAGATGATGTTGTGTTTTCTGACAAGAGGATAGGTTGTACAACGATCATCAAAATCCTGATGAAGAATTATTATAGTCTCTTGATGAAACAAAAGTAGAATGTGTAGAAGTTGTATAATGAAAAATCACCCAGGATAATTCTATTAACAACAAGAGGAGTAACTAGTACCTGCTAGTCCTGCTCCTACTAGTAGATTTGTTGAACTAGAACTAATACATGAATTGCTCACTATGAAATATCGTTCTTTTTAACGTTCACAACGACAGTAAAAAGTTTTCGTTAACAGTAAGAAGTTTTCGCTTTCAACAAGAGTTAAAGTTATAGAGATATTAGACAATATTAGAGAAACAAGAGCAACAGATGAGATGGTGATGAAGGGTGGTTAATAGCATGATGAGTAACATCAACATTAAACCGCCAAGGCTTGTGTCTACTTAGATAGGGGACGATGAATCCCGTAGGGGACACCCAGGAAAACTACATTAATAAGTAGGGTTAATAGCGAGAAAATATTCTTATAATCTTCGTAAAAGCTTACAGGTATTGAATCTTTGTCTCCAATGAATTAGAGCGAGACCCGATAATAGAAGTACAAGTCTACTCAGAAAAAACCAGACCACAAGAACAAGTAAGTTGTTCAGTCCAACGAACTATGAGTACAACAACTATGAACGTCCTGATCAACAAAGGGTTTTCTTCTTGGTGTCGTTCATTCTGAATTTACCGAATTATTTGATTAGACCTCGTAACTCGCAGTCTTCATCGCATTACTACAAATACAGCTCCGTTGGTTTACGAACACAACTCCTGTGAGAGTTGAGAGCAGCATTCTGAGATGAGCATAATTCCAGAAAATCAGACTTCATAGCTACTTCTCCTTTCGAAGTCGACCTGGACCACACATGCGCCTGTTGCACATAGTGTACCTGTTGCGCATAGTGTCTCCTGTGGCACATAGGTTGCACATGTGCAGTCCGACGTCGCTTCTCCCGGTGGGTGGCGCCATCTGCGAGCGGCATCGTCGTCGTGCTTATGTTGACACCAAGAGTGAAGTGCTATGCTAGTTGTATGTTGTGTGACTTGAATATTGACCAATCTTATTCTATCAGCAAAATATCGAACACAATCTTAATCCTAGTAATCGGCCATAATATTATACCGCAAGGGCAAGATGAAATAGAAGATCAAGATCATATCAATGTCAAACTACTTGTTCCATGATTATTATTAATGTTTATGAATTAATAATTAGTAAAAGAATATTATCTCAACATGGGTTGTACCTGGACACCCCCGATATTATTATTTACAGAAGTGTCACCAAGGGCAAGGGTCCTCTGCGTTCGCGAACTCATTCTCCAGCGCGGTTAGACGACGAGTACTATCGTTCTAAATAAGATGACAATAAAGGGAATTGAATTATAACAGTGTCACTGCCTTGTTGAAGAGACGTCCAGTCTAACTTGAAAAAATCTGCAAGTAGCGGCATTTTTCGAGGATTCATTATACAAGAAAATTCTCTAGTTAAAATCATTATCCAACATTATCCATCATTATTATCCTAAAACTAATATTGTTCATCAATCGTGATTAAAGTTAAAGATACCAACTATTATATTCTACTAAAAGCGTTCGTGGTGATATGCAAGAATCTTCTTCGATAGAAATTGCTGGATCATGAAGAAGAGCAGGAAGCTGGATGCGAAATTTTCTACAGGAGTTATGTTGATCGAGCAAGAGGTAGAGGAGCAGAACAAGTGTTAGTTTCATCGACAAACAGTCAACAACAATCAATTCATCTTGAAGCATTCTTCATAACTGAGTTTCATAACTGAGTTTGTTATCGTCCAGATATGTTGTTGTTGAAGGTGGAAAAGGTCGAGGTCGTGAAGATTTTAATTGTTTTAGAAGATTTCGAAGATTAATCCTTTTGTCGTCGTGTAGTGCAAGAGAAGTGTTGTGAATCTATTTAAGCAAAGCTTGTAGAGGCGGAAATCTCAGAAGATGTTCTTCTACTCTGAAAGGAGCGCCCCTGGAGAGATTGAGATAGCAGAGAAAAGCGCAGTGAGTAGTCGCGCTGTCAAACATTGAAGCGGCGCTCCTTGTAATGATATTTTCGGAAAAACGGGTCGCTGTACACAATCATTGGACGCACTAGATGAGATGGGTCTGTCTCTGTTGTACGAGAGCCTGACTCTATGCTAATAAAACCTGTCTCTCTGCTACAATCAAGCTATCTCTGTACTAAACCCCGTCTGCACTAATAAAATCTGGCCCTGTACTAAAGCGACCTGTTTCTGTCATCAAGCTGCCTGTCTCTGTGCTAAAACCTGCCCCAGCTGTGCTAGATGAAACAGTCGCTGTACTAGAAACTGTCACTCTTCGATTTATCTGCTGCTGTTTTGTCGCACATCATTCCAACTGCTCTTATTTTCTTGTCCGACTTCTGCGACAGAAAATGATTCTGCTTCTCTTTGTCTTTACCTCCTTAGTTAAGCGCCGTGACTGACTCGGGAACACCGACACGCCTCCCTCTTCCCTACACCAGCTACAACTTCAAGAAAGGCCTCTCTGCTATCAAGTACGCTGTCGGCACATGTCAGTCTGCTCGCCTTCGCGGTCTCATTGAAGTTGACGGGTCAAGGAATAGAGACAGGCCCTGCGGATTTCTTGGAAGAGCCGCGAGTCGCTTTCTCCGATTTTAGCTCTTGCTTGCACCATACGCCTATCAAACTTAACTAAAGCGTGGCTTGTTTGGCCCCGCAGCAAGTGGAGGGGCAGCAAGCGCGTCTTTCTGTGCTTGCTTTCGCAGCCCACGCAGACTCTTCCCAGACCCGCGTTGGGCGGGGTGTTCGTCGGCTTTTCGGGTGGCTGTGCTGCTCGTAGGGCCGTTCACGGGATGGGCTTTTCTCTGTGGAGCGCGCCCGCGTGGTGTCTGGGAGGGCATGCCACCGGGGCTTTGCACTGCGCGATTGATGGTTTGAAAGGGCCCTACGAGACGCGTGGCCGCGCTGCAGTCATCCGGGCCGCACTCGGTTTGTGCGGGGCCCGCCGTGCCTGGTGTTGGTTGGTCTCGTTGGGTATGCCGGATTACGGGCCGCCTCGGGTGGTGGGCTGATTCTGGGAGATCGGGCAGCATGAGTCTTGCGTGGTTGATGCGGCCGGCTTGGTAGCCATGTAAGGGGCGCCCCTGATTACCTCTCCCCCTGCAAACTGCCGAGTCGGCTGCCAGGGGTATCTAGCACGGAAGCCGGCCGGCATGTTTCTGCTTAAAAATAGTTAATAAATTGAAGGTGCAGCTGCCTCTTGCTGGCTTCTCTTTTCTTGTTGCGCGGTCGGGAGAGCAGAAGAAAAGAGGCTAGGCAGGGGAGCGGAAATAGTCAAAGCGTGCGCCTAGCATCGTGACGCAACTGAGGCAGAGCGAGCGTGCGCGCTTGTAGTATCCTCGCAAGGAAAGGAGGCTCGCCAGGGTAGTAAATAGTTAACACCGCTGACCGCATCAACAAGAGGGACGCAGAAAGGATGGGCGGCGTCGGTCGTTGTGTTTTCTTTCTGCCGGTCGTAGACGCGTTTTCGCACTTGCGGCTCAGACACTGACGGCAGCTCAGTCACTGACGCAGCTGCTTCGCGATAAAGGGGAGCAACCCAGCAAGGAGGGGGGCTGCTGCACCTTCAAGAAGGAGGCAAACTAGCTGCAAAGGAAGGACGCGCCACAAGAGCGCGCATCTCCTTGAAAGTAAGGAACCCCAGTAGCGCCCGTGCTGTAGTGCTGCTGCGCGTTCGTCGTATTTATCCGCTTTGGGTTTGGCAATATTTCCAGCCAACTAGAAAAGGCTGAAGGCAGCCCCCGCTCTTTTTGCAGGGCACCGAGCGGCGTGCATGGATGAGGCGGCGCAAGCCTTGCCGCCCCGCCCTCTGCCCCTAAGTGCTTCGGGTGCTTGCACTAACTTATACCCACCGCCAGCCCCAGGGCGCCACGGATGGGCAGCGGGGGCTCTCTCATTTCAAAGGAGCGGCCCCGCAAAGCGCCGCGGGCGGGCCTTGTCCACCGCGCTCAGGCGTACAGATTGAAAAGAACGAAGTAGAAGCACCCGCGCCCACTGTGCCGGCAGGAGGCACGCGAGGGCCAGCCATCCCCCCGGCTGCGTTTCTTTGCATGGGTCGGGCGTGAATCGCTTGCAAACCTGGCGGCGGGCCCCTCCGCGCTTCGCCAGAGGTCTCCTCTCGGCAGCGCCAGTGGATTGGGGTGAAGAGGTAGGAGGGCCGCGGCTGAAGCTGCTGCCTGTTGTGGGCTTCAGGTCTGCGGCTCTCAAGTCTTTGCTTCGCCTCCGCGTCAGGCACTGACTTGGCGCGGCGGCTTGGTCTTCGTATGATGGAAATCGATGTCAGACCGGCTGTGCCACAGTAGGCCGACCGACGACAAACGGACCTGGCGGCACACGCAAGGGAGGGCCGGCTTAATTAGTCTCGACGGGGCCCCGCCGATGGTGTTTTCTTCGTTTTGACGGGGCTGCCTTTTCCTGGGGGTGGCACCCACTCACCAGGCGCCTGCCACGCCAGTTAGTGGGTTTCTGGCTGAAGCGCAACCATCTGCCGCCTGTAGTGTTTTAAGAAGGCGAGGCTTGAGCTGCAGGCGCCTGCGCTCGGTTATCTCCTCTGCCTTCGGTGGATGGGGTTGTGCGCTGGAGGAGGAAGAAAAGAAGAGGGCTGCGCAGCGGTGCCAAGGGAGCTGCCCGTGGCGGTCCCCGTCGGCAATGGCCTTTCGCCCTCGCGGTGGGAGTAGGAATGTAATGAAAAACATGTGAGAGCGGGAGAGGGGTCTTGGCCCTGTTATTGTTTGTCTAACTTTCGAGGCGGCGGAAAAACAGGAGGGAGCTGAGACGCCGCGCTGCACAGCGTTCGGTTAGACGGGAGGCTTTTGTCAAAAAGGCAACCAAAGCAACGCGGCAAACCGGGGGCGGCGCGGGTCGGCTGGTCTTGGCGGGCTTGTGGTGTGGAGAGCTGGCAGAAACTCCACAGGGAGCGGGCGGCTGGGCTTTTGGCGTGTCGCTCGCTCTTTCTGAGCTCTCGCGAGAGTCGGACACCCTCCCGCAGTGAAGGCGAAGCCGCTTCGCGTGTTTGTTATCTCCTAGGAGGGGCCGCCGGCTTTCTTCGGCTGCCTAAGCTGCATGCTTGGGCGTGGTATGACGCAGAAGCCATGCCGGCCCAAGCAGATTCCAAGCCAGCGGGGAAAACGCGTCTGCTGTGTTGGTATTCATAGCTGGGACAGGCTGAGCCCCCGTTGTTAAATTTGTTGGTCGTAGACGCGAAGAAGGTGAAGAAGGTGGCGTGGTGGTGGCACAATATGGCGCTGAGATTGGGACTAGGAAGGCAAACGCGTAAGCCGATGACGGCGGGCACTCACTGCTCATGCCTTTGCGCGTATAAGATTTAGTAAAGCACGGGATCGCTGGGCGCCCCTGCGCACCTGCTACAGCCAGGGCGCTCTGCTTTATTTCCTTTCCTGTCTCGTGTTGCTGTGTGCCTGTGGGTGTGTCGCCTCCCTCATTGGCCTGCCCGGGTTTGTTACTTACTAGCAGAGCGAGCCCACCAGGGTAGGCGATCTTTTACCAGAAGGAACTCAGTGGCGAAGTTCGAGGCTTGCTTCGCTCTCCGCAAATCAGTGGCCATTCGTATGCGTCATCTAATTCCCGGCGCGGCTCGACGACGTGGGCGAAGGCCTCACTTCTTCGGTGGTTGCGGAGGGTGATCAGCTCGCCATCCTTGTAATCAAAATCGACATGGAGAGCGCGGAGTATAAGGAATGTGTGTGAAACTTTTGAAGCAATTGCACTCGTGGCGCCTTGCGTCATGATCTGGGTTTTTACAAGAACCATTTAGAGCGCGGAAGCGCGAAGCAAGGTTTGCCTTTTTTGATGATCGTCGGATTGTTATTTTTTCTGTGGTGCTTAATATGGTTTCTTTCTGATAGTTGATATTGTGGCAATGAGCTGCTTTGCCCCAGCCTATGCACTGTGTAGGGCCGATTGGGTTTCTTTTTCTACACAGGTGTGACGTACTCTTCCAACTCTCTCGGAGTCCTCCGCCTCATCTCCAGCGACCGCGTTCCCGCTGCCAGTCCTGATGATCGAGCTCGGCTTCGGACTGGGGCACCCTGATTTGTCGCTGGAGTTAGCGGAGTTCGATTTTTTGTGCCAAACGTTGGGGCACGTAAGCTCCACCGACTATCGCCAGGCGAAAACGGCCACAGACCTAGTCTTCAGGCATAGGAGTATCCCCCGCTGAGGGTGCCCGGGTTGTTTCAACTAAAATGCGACGAGCTTTGCAGCGGAGGGGGCGCTATGATCTTTTATTTCTGAGAGGGGCAATGCGTCTGCGTGCATGTTTTTCGTCCCTCATCAGGTGAACGCCCTGTACCCTAGGACGCGGACAAAGGCGGAGCGCCGTCAGGGATCGGCCCTTTTTTAAAAGTCCATCATTAACGTTACCATTCATCACCCCCATTATCGCCATCACCGTGCAGGGGGGCGGGAGCCCCGTCACCATAGGCACACCACGTATAGCACCAGGAGGCGCGGGGCCGCTCCTTCCCTTCATGAGATGACCACGGAGACACGCCCCACTGTGGTCGGTGTGAGCTGTCGAGCGCACCAGCCCGCGCAGATGGTTGGCATTAGACATGACTACTGGCTTGTTTGGATGGATTTGGGAGCGTTTAAGGCTTCGGCCACAGGGGCTGCCGTCGTATGCCAGCGAGGAAGGCTGAGGCAGTTGCAATTGTATGCAGCTTTGCAAATGGAATAGTTGGCGGAGCGTAAGGGGGGCGGGGCATGGTGCCATGTGTTTGCTTGTCTCTTTCGTTTTTGCGCGATTTTTCTTCGCGTTCCAGCCTTCGGCCCCGCGTTGGTTTGTGCGATGCGTGCTGACTTCGTAATTTGTAGGCAAGAAAATCGGTCGTGAGCGCCCCGAGGGGCGAGGCAATCGCGCACCCACAAGGCAACAGGCGTGATGAGACTCTGCCACGCGCGCGCGTTAGTTTTCCGAGGCGCTTTCTGGCGTGCGTGAGTATCTTGTGTCTGGGCTCTTCAGTGAGTCCAAGTTCATTTCTGTAACGAGGGAGCGCAGCTAAGGTGCTGCAGCTGCCGAGGGAGTCGAGCCCGGAGGCGGCCTGCAATGAATCACACAAGAGCCAGAGAGGCGGGCCATGCGTTCCCGCTGTAGCGCTCTAGTGCATCGGCATCGCTGACGCAGGAGCTTGCGGCGAGGGAGCGTGGTGGCAGAAGGAATGTCTGTCGCGGAGTGCTGTCAAGGGGCTGGGCGTTTGAAGTTGCTACCGCTTATTGAGGCAGGGGCCGCCCGCTCATCGCTTAGCGGCGTTCGCTGTTCTTTACTTTCACAGGGGAATGGTGCCCGCGAGGTGTAACAGGTTGAAGCGTTTAGTTTTGGGAAGGTGGTCACGGTTTCCAGCAAGTTTGTAGATACGACAAACCGCTAAGGCGGAGGCAGCGGAACAAGGAACGCGCAATGACGACAATGACATGCGCTTGATGCACTTTGTCCGCCTGGGAAAGTTGTGAATGTGCCTGCCGCATTGATTGTTTCTGCATGCGCGCTACAGAAGTCACTGCGCTTTTTCCAGCTCTCGTTGCGTGGTCGCAGTTTCTCGGGAAGTCGCCGTGTAACTCAGTGCTAGACCACATATTGTTGCTAAGCATGCTGCAGCTACTGTAGTTTCGCCCAGCTGGCTGATTGGCTTCGGCAAGTTTGTTTTTCTTACTTGGTCTTGCGTTGCATCGGCTTCGTCTACTGGGTTATTCTATGTATAATGATTGCTCCCCTGCCCCACACGATATGGTGCGAAAGTGTGCAGTGCTTTGTAGTTTTCAGCTCTACTATTTTAGTCGGAGCCAGCAGCACTGCATGGACCACCCCGAGGGCCCCCATGCGCATGAGCGGGACGACGGCTGCCCAACAAATTGCGCAAGCAGAATCCAGGAGCCTACTGAGACCCAAACAGCCTGCAGGGTTAGTCTTTGCCCGGCCATCGTCTTACCTAGGAGCGTGGGAGGCTTCGCTGCGTGTGCTCCTGCTTCGAAGAGAAAAGGCCTGCGCCTCTTCTCTTGTCTTCTGTGGTTCTTTTGGATCGGAGTGCGCGACGGTAGTCCAGCAGGCACGTTTACACCTGAGCAAGAAATGAAAAAGGACAAATCGCGAGAGTTTTTCAGCCGTGGTTCCGATCCTCCGTGTCGTGCCCTCACTTGCGCTAAAGTCTTGCGTCTAGCGGCTCAGCCCTTAGTGTCCTGCTAACTCCTCGAAGCGAACGATGGGCTGCAGTCCTACGTCTAGCTCTCGAGGAGAAGGCCTTTTGAGTAATGTCGTCAGGGGGCTGGGTGTTTGTAGCCAATAAGGGTCAAACGGGCAGGCCCCACCAGATGCTGGCGATGCTGCATTCCGTAACGCCGCCCGCCAGTAGTTTTTCTTCATCCACGCGGCAGCGCTTTAGATTTACTAGGCCGACGCGGTGACGGAGAGCAGAAAGGGCGGCCGCTAGTCCCCGAGCAGGAGAAGCAAGCCTGCGCAGCAAGGAGCGCCACGCGTTCAGCGGGCGCGCTGCAGATGCCTTTTCGTAGAAGCCTCACTGCGTGCATGCTACAGAAGTTGTGGAGCTTTTTTTCAGGTATAGGCGATCAAGGTTGATGAAGTATCTACGGCTGAGCGATAAGCTGTTCTAGACTTCGAGCACTTTTCGCGCCTGCCCTTGGCTGCATGCGTCCCCGCCTCTAGCAGATGCTACGAAGTCGCACTCCTTGCGCTTCGGGGTAGAAAAGTAAGGCGCCCAGTTTGGCGAAAGCTTGAACCAGCCGCGACCCGTGCCGGCGGGCTCCTGATGGAAGTCGGCGATCAAAAGTCTTGGGCCAATGCCTACGCCTAAATACTCGCTATGGCTACTACCCTGCTTCAGACATTGACAATCGGGATCGGGCGTCGCAGGTGTTCAATGCGTTGCAGATTTCACTACCTTAGCGGACGGTAATTGTATTGCACTGCGCCGCTTACGCTTACCTATACCTACGCCGGGGGGAGCGTCCGTGCGTATTATTTAAAGCGCGCCGGCTGCCCGACGGATAATGCTAGCGGAGGCTGAGAGCTCGCATTGCTTAGGCAGACACGCCCAGCCCCTTGGGGCAACTACTTGCGCGACCGTCATTTCACCAGCGAGAGGGACGCACTTGGGTGGGCTTCTCGAAAAGTTTACTTTGCTCGTGGCAGGGACATCAAACCCGCTGCGGGGCCGAGGTTTCTCTAGGTTGGCCTAGGCTCAGTCGCGCAGAAGCGGCCGGGCCCGGTCTCGTTTCTATTGTAATGACCCACCGCTCCTGGCGTTTTTTGCTTCTGTGCTACTCTTATGTGCAAAGAAAGGGTGCATCAATGTCGGGCGCCCCATGTTCTTCGCGCCTGCGGGTCCGCCGTCGTGTTACCAGCGGGCAGCGCGTACTATCTCACCGCTGCAACATTCTTACAGCGTAAGCGCCTGCGCCGTCCGCCGTCGCTCTAGCCGTTGGCGCCCGCGTCTGAACCATAGACGTGACAATGCTGCGTGGGTGGGGCTTCGGTCTCCTTAGTAATTTTGTTTGCCGTCTTCTTGGTAGTGATCCCGGTGGCTACTGGCGCCTCCGCGCCGGCGCGCTTCGTTTGCGTTTATCAAACTCTTCGGGCTCGGGCGTCCAGGTGGAGCCCCCTGCGAGGGCCACGACGAGGCAGACCGGCCAAGAACGCTCTCGAAACGAAGGTGGGGGCCTCTGTGGTGTCATAACGACGATTCTGGACCCTGGCGGCGTCGTGGAAAATTTCGTGGAGCGACATCGGGGCGCTACTTTAATTTAAGGCCACCTCCTTAACTGATCTTTCTAGATGTCTATTAGCTTCTTTTTTGCTGCACCGTCTTGCCCTTGGAGGCAGGTGACATTCACCTGCAGCCACCGAAAAGGAGCGGGCTATCTACATAGGAAAGTAAGTAAGCGCCGTCTCGATCGTTGGTTGTTTTTGCCTCTAATTTGTAGTCATCGGAGATGAGCGAACGAACAATGCCACATGGGCTCACTTTTCCGACAGGAACGGCGGTCGGGTGCATTTCATCCCACTCGGCGCGCAGGAGCAGCTGGGCTACATGATTACGAAGCACCTGCCACACAGTCACTTTGCGCGAAAGGCAGTCGGCTATCTCCGTGCAATTCAGCTCAGTTAAGTGGGAAAGAATTCCGAGTGTTCATCTTTGAAGACCGTAGCATCCTTGAAAGACCGCCGACGAAGCCGCCTAGCGGTCAACTGCAATCGCCTAGCGCTGTTTGTTTCTTGATATTTGTGCGCTACCTATCCTCGCTGTAGTTGTGTACGTAGTCGCCGGCGATGCCTTGCTTACACATAGCGCGGCCGCCTACTGTCTCACAGAGGTGCATTCCTTTCAGGGATGCGCGTCGGGGATGCACTACGCACAGCGCGAACCAAGGTGTCAGAGGATTTTCGACTTTGATGATGATAACGAGCTGGATCCGGAGCAGCTCGCGGCGTCCAGTAGCTGGGCGACGAAGCAGCTCAGGCCGATCGACTCCGAAGAGGCGCGTGCCGTGAACGTGTATCCATACTTCAAGCCCACGAATGGGCAAGGCCTTACTTGGCCGCGTGGATTTCCTCAGCTATGGTAGACTGCAGTAGCGCTCCCGCCCCCCCTTCTTGAACTTAATTTTGGCAGAAAAGCTGTAGTTGATAAGGTAAGGCGCATAGAGTGCAGAAAGACAAGGGAGGCAAGAAGCGCCGCGCTTATCTCCATGCCGCTCCATACGGTCCACGCGTCTCATGCCATGCTGCTGCCAAAAGCCTAGAAGAAGCGGGCTGCCCCGTTCGTCATTCTGAGTGGCCGGCTGCTGCTCGCTTTTTTTGTCCCCGCTTCCGTGATTTTGGGAGCGTGGGGGGGAGGGGGGTGCGTGCGTGTGCGTCGGTGGTGCGCAAAGCAAAAGGCGCCCTCGCCCTTTTCGTCTGTTTTGGAGGCCGAGGGGCTGCCCCGTGCCATGGGTGGCAAGAGGTCAGCGGAAGCACTTGGAGGCGGCCTCGTGCCGGGAAGGGTCGTCAGGTATACGAACTAGGCCCGTCGGCTTCGCGGGTTCTCGGTCAGCAACCAAGCGCCTTACGGCCTGGAGGCTTTTCGCCATGGTCCGCCGTCGATCGGTCCGCCGTCGTTGGCTCTAGCCAAACATACACCAGGGACCAGACTTGGCGTGGGGAAGTTCGTTTTCGTTAATTTTTCGCCAGTGGCCTGGCGGCCAAATCAACTGCCCGCGCATTTTCTCGCGGGGTCGCTTTGTGTCGTCTTCGGGTGGCGTCATTCGTGTTTGTACGTCATCGGCCTCCCTGTCTCATGGCTCGGGCGCCCTTCGTGGCTTTTGGTTGGAATGTTTTTAGCTGATAACTGATGGCGAGCGCCTGCGCGCGACCCTTCATAGCAGCACCTGATACGAGACGCTAGCACACATGAGCTTGAGGAGCTTGCTGTCCCACTCGTAAACGATTCCCATTTAGCCGTGATCCAGTCCCTCGCAAATGTCGACCCTGACGTTGACGCGGTTTATAGGCAAACACACGAGGCCCCGTCGTTTTCTTTTCAGAGAGAGCGCGTGAAACTCGGCTTGGGTGCAGGGTACGTTGCGCCATGGAACGCGCAGGCCACTCTGGTCATGCCTCCAGCCTTTTTCGGGTTGCTGCTTCCGGCGTCAGTGTCTGGGCGTGTCAGTGACATCTGGCGGAGCTACATTACCACAAGATTGTTGTGGGCAACCAAATGGCGCGTGGGTATATGCTCGCCTATGGTAACACAGTACCGGAATCCACACCTGTTCTCCCAGGATTTTGAAGATGAGCTCAAATTGTACCTTCATGGGGATTCCTTCGTGGAAAGCCTGCTCGGGTGGAATTTCGAGTTCGCCCCCTCGACTTCGAGAAGAGAGACGCGCGCGCCCTCCTTGCGTTCAGCATACCTCAGTGTGATGCAGATGCTCGCGCGGAAAAACTTCTTAAGCCTGTCCGATGTCGATCTAGCTGGGGCTTGGGTTACGGATCTGGAGCATGTGGGCTGGAAGTGGCCAGAAGTCACTGCCAACCTCTCCAGTTGGAAAATTGCCGCTGAGGATGTTGTGGACCGCCGGCGGATAGAGTGGCGAGCCCCCGATCGACGGCTTCTCAGCATGTCACTTTATGAGATTGAGAGGGCCAGACCCTGCCATCTGGTGCCCCTCTTTACTGTGTTGGGCCTTGTTTTTTACTTTTTTTTACTTTCTGGCCGAGAAGTGAACTGGTGCCGGGGGACAGGGGTGCTGCGCTGGCGTCGTGGCCAGGTTGGGCGCCCACAACCGCAGCCCACCCGCGGCGCCGTTACTGCCGGCTCATAGCAAACGCATGAAGCTGTGAGGCCCAGCGCTGCTTTGTAGTCGCAGACCAAGCCTTCGCCGTAGCCAGCTCCGCGCCCGACGCACTCAGCCCGGCACGGAACCAGCTGACTGCGCGAATATTTTTCGGCAGCCCGCCCGGCTTTGAGAGCCCCCGCAGCGCTGCAGCTGGAAAACACTGGGCGGCCCCCGGTCTACTCTCGAGGGCCTTACGCGCCTGAACATCGGCCAGCATGCAGCTTTTTGACTGCTTGCCCTCTTGAGGGTGACCAAGCAAGCGGGGCTGCCGCTACTTGGGTCGTGGTGGCTTCGTGGCATATTTTGTCGAAAAGTTTGACGCGCCTGGCCATGCGTACGCCCGACAAGCTTCTGAAAAGCTACCGGAGAGGGCACCGCGCTAGGGCTGATGCCTTCGCGCTGGGGCTTTCTCCTCGTCGTGTCAGAAAATGTTCGTGGGGTTGCGTCTGCTCGTCCGCGTAGGCGACGCGCGGGCCCCGCCCTACGGCTGCCGTAGCCGACGGGCTGGCGCCCGCTCGCCCCTGGCTTGGTTTGTCAGTGTCGGGGGCATGTGGCGCGCGGGCTCGGAAGTGAGCGCAGGCGATCGACCACTCTCACGCCTTGCGTAGCGCTCCCTCGCCTTAGTCTAGCAATTGGTGCCACGGCATTAACAAATCGACAGCACGCCCTAGCTGCCCTCTGCCTTTTCCCCGTCGCGCGCTCGGTTGCAAGCGTTGGGCGCGTGCGAGAGCCGTGGGGGGGAGGGGGGGGTGGCGGGCGCGCTGCTTCTTAGACTTAGAGCCACTGGCCCGCGATTCTTGTCAGGGTGTGCCTGCATTCCAGCACCGGCGGGAAGTGCTCTCGCTTTTCCTCCAGCAGGTGTGTCTGTGCTCCCAGGCCGTCCCTGAGTGTCTCGTCCTCTCCTCGAAAGGCTTTTCGATGAAAGCTGGACCGCCATGCCGTACAGATTTTTTTTCGGGTGGAAGCAAGTGCTAGACTTGTAGGCATTTTTCTTAGCGGTTGATCTCATATGCGCGGAGCGAAAGGAGCTACTACCTCTACAGCCACGAAGTCGAAAGCCCTCGGAGGTGGTGGGAGCTTTTCTTTGGTGTTGCAGTTCAATTACCTTGCAGACAACGCCGTCTACCGCGTTGTTTTTGATGCGTGGCGACGTGCTTTCAGCCCAGAAAGTATCTGGGTCGCGTGTCCCTTTTCGAAGGATGACAAGCACACAGCCACAGCCAAGGGCGAGCCAGGCAGCGCATCGGTCAAGTGGCTGACGTATCAGAGCGACCGTGGCTATGTTTCGCCGTACAGAAATTTAGCGAAAGTCATCGCGAAGTCGCCAAAGATATGGCTGCGCCAAGCTTCGTGGCCGCGTGGTGCCTGAGGGCGCCCTCCTCCACTCGTGTGAAGTATAGGGGGGGGGCGTCGTTGTGCGCTTCGGGTCTGTACTTGCAGCCCAGCAGTCTAGGTCCTGCCCGAAGGCCCTCGGCGCTGCTGGTTGGAAGTGCGAAGCGGGCGCCGCGTTTTCATCTAGTTCCAAAAGGTTTTTATACGTCCACGACGATGCCCTCCTCGTGCGCTCCGTCCAGTTTGGCGAGCCTAATAAAGGCCAGCCTGCAGTAGATGGCTTCTTCGTGGGTAGTTTTTCCCTGGTCCCAACGGCTCGACTCCATTCAAACGGCACGACCCAGGCGCACCATATGGACCGTTGGCCCTTCAGGGACGGCAGGCCAGTTTGGGCTTGGTGGGACGGCTGCGTCCGGTCGCTTGCGTCAGTTCTGCGCGACAAAGGTTTCTTGGAACTCTTCGCGAGCCGCCTCGGGTCGTTTGGGTCGAGCGACGTTTCTTCGAGTGGAGTGGGCCACTCGGCAAGCATCTATCTGGACATTTTTTTGGGCCAAGCGGATATGTTGTTCGCGGAGCTTCGTGGTGAGAAGTTGCGAAGTGACTTCCTTAGTTTTCTACAATTATTGGCACGGAGTGGGGTCTTCCTGGAGTGCGCTATTCCCACCGCAATCGGCTTCGTTCAACGGCTGCACAAAATCGAGCATGTTCAAGTGAAGCTGTGCACATCTTGGGCAGCCGACCGTGGCACGGAGGCCATGCTCGACAACTGCCCGCAGGAAGCGCGTGCCTACCATCCATATAAGGTCGGAACTGCGAGTGGCGAGGGCGCAAACGTGACTGAAAGGCTCGACACCTGGAGAAAGAAGTTCGACGAAATGGCTGCGGGCATTCTCTGACGCCGTAGTCGTGCGTGTACCAGGCTCGGTGTGGGGTTTGGTCTTGCCTGATGGATTCACTTCTCGACATAGCATCATTCTACCCGCAGCCTGGCTCTTCGCTTTTCTGTAGATTTCGTGGCACATTGCCAGCGCACTTCTTGCATGCTTGCCGGTGCTTTGCGTACGGCGAGCCTCTGGGCATGCTGCGGCTTTGCCACCAGCTCAGCCATCGAGCTGAAAACCCACTCCGGAGCCGTGCTCTTTGAATGCGCAGAACCCCACGAAAGCAATGGCGTAGCGGCTACCTGAAAGAGAAAATGCTGCACCCGTGAGGCCGTCACCCCAGGAGCGTCCCAGGCCGCTGGCTTAGAGCTAGGCTCAGCCTGAAAGTTGAGAAAGACAGCGATAGCAAAGCGGAACGGCCACGGCCTGCGCTTGCGTTGCCTTACCGTACGGCCGCGCCAAGTCTGGCCGGCGGCGCCGGCACGCCTGAACTGCTGGAGGCCAACGACTTAGGCGAGGGCTTTCCTCGTTGCACCGCCTGCGCCTTTTTTGAAGAATGCAGCCAGTGGCAAGGCTTGGCGCACAGCCATACACCCCGGCCATCGCGTGTCTGTAGACCTTCGGCACCGTCCTCATTCGCAGACAGGCAGCCGCCGAGGGAGACCTGGCTCGCCGTCCATGGGGCCAGCCTCTGACGTGAAGGCCTGAACCGGGCAAGGGGTGCCCAAAAGCCGCGCCCTTTTTTTGGCCAAGGAAGACAAGAACGTGCCGGCATTTTGCGCTCCTTTTATGCAAAAAGCTGCTGGGTCATTTATTTTGCAAGGATTCACCTGAAGCGGCTCCACCTAGTGGGGGTCAGGGGGTGGGCCAACTCGGCCCTTTTTGGCGAAAACAAAGTGGTCGCCAAGTGGCTTGGCTTGTTAGTTTGTGGCGCCAAAGTGGGCCTCGCTTGTCCCCCTTTTTGACACCCCTCCAAGGCGCCTCCGATCCGAGCCTCCCAAGGGACTCCCCTGGGGACGCTTGCAGAGTCTACAAACACTTCGCTCGCCTTGGGTCGGCCGGGCAATCGTGGCGGAAACAGCAGGATAACTATGCGCCCGGCACGCGTTCAGACTGAAGATTGTCCGGCTTGTTTCGTCTCGGCCTCAAGTCGGCTGGAGCTCTAAAGGGCGGGCTGACAAATAAACGGGGCTCGGGAGGGGGTCAAAGTTTGCCGCTTGCTTTAAAGAGCTTGGGGCCCGCCGTTGGGAAAGCCGCTTGCGGGGAAGGGCCGCATGGATGAGGCACAAGACAACAACAGACCGCCTTTCTTAAGGGTGACGCGTTGCCGAGTGAAAATCGCAGAGGTTAGGCCTTAGTTGTATATGTGATAGCATAAGCGATAGACAAAGAGGCGAAGTGAGCAAGGCGCTCTTAGCTCATTTGCCATGCCCCTTGCTTAGTCTTTTAGTAGGAGTAGCTGGAGATACCTGGCATATTTCATTTTAGGCGGGAAAGGCTATGGAATTATCTTCGACGAGGAGTCTGTGACACGCTAACGCTATCTAAGAAACAGAAGGCAAGCTCCTCCTGAGTCAGGGAAGGTGCAGAGGGGCAGAGTGACTCACTAGGTTGCACTGGTTGACTTCCTCAAAGCTTAGGAGGCTTATCTGAGGGCGTCAATCTAAATTGTTGCACTTAAAACTAAATTTATAACGCCCATGCTAATGCTTTGTAGATGTAGTTGTAGTCCCCCGCCATTCGTAATTGCTGTTGCTCAAGATATATGACGGCAAGAGAGCTTGCTTTGTTGCGGCATTCATCTATCTTGCGAGGAAACGAAAAACCAGCTGCAGCCGAAACCCCCAGTGAGTCGGTATGCTTGGTTTGAGAGGGCGCTGGTGAGGGCCGTATAGTGCTGGCGCCCTTGCGCCATTGGTAGAAATTTTTTAGGGTAGCTTCTTACACGGGTATAGGCCCACGCTAGGGAATGCCGTCAGGGTAAAAGCTGACTCATTATGGCAGAGGCGGCCTCGGGCCCGGACTCAGGGACAGAGAATACATAGCGCACTTGGCGCAGTTGGGCTGCGTGCTTCGGCGTTTGGCGGGATTGTGATTGGAGAAGCGGTCAGCGACAGGTGTGGCGCTTCGCTCCCATCTCCGCTGGCCTCTCAGCTTGCTTTTGACGGACGCGCAGCGCACGGGCGCAATCTTTCGGCCCGCGGGGCTTTCCCGACCTCAGTTACAACGCGCGGGCCACGCCAGGGGATCAGCCGCTTTCTCGCTGTAGTTTTGGGTGAAAAGAAGGAAACGGGGAATGGCGGGGGTGTGAGCGTGACAGGCGGGGGAGCTTCCTTCACTTCACTGTTCGGCACCGCGTGGCACTGCTAGCGCCGTGAGCCTCTCTCCCAAAACGGCGGCGTCCGCTGGTTGGAATCCGAAGGAAAGCGAAGAAAATGCAGGCACCGGTAGCCGAAAGAAGAAGAAGAAAGAACGGGCGAGGAGTCGCGCCAGGTAGCTCGATTTGTTTACTTTTAACGTGTAAGGATGTGCTCCGTGCGTATCGATTGAAACGGTGGGCCCTTCCCCGCGACTGCATCTGGAGCTTTCTGCGCACGAGAGGCCTCACGCTTCTCCCAGTTGGCTGCCTTCGCGCTTTTTACTTGCTGTTGCTGTAGCATGTATTCCGCGGCCTGCTCCGGTTCTGCTATGTGCTGACCCATAGCAGGCGTCCTGCCCTCGAGCTCGTCGCCCTCTGGCGTCTGACGTAATCCCCAGGCCCGTTGCGAAGCACGAGCTGCACAGGCGGCGCCTTGCTGGGGCGCTTTGTTTATTGTGTCTGGTGCACACCGACGCGCGGGCACTGGCCTGAACCAACACCCAACGGCAATCAGCCCTGCCGGTGGTTCTATGACTATGAACCTGCAGCCGAGTCGCGCCCCTCGCGGGGGGTTGGCCTGGGCTATTGCTGACTGTTTCGGCCCGGGCAGATCACTCGACAGGGCTGGCCTTGGCTTGGCGTGACTGAAATCGCACGAACACTGGCCGCGATCGCATGCTACGGAACAGCCTGGGCAGTGCCGCGGGCAAAACACCGAGGAAGCGAAGAAACGCTACGCCTCGTGGTATTGCTTTGGAGCGAAATGGTGGGAGGGCTCCAGGAGTCGAAATGACTTAAAGCGCACTAATATCGGGAGAGCCGTGAATAGCTCGAGCGCTCTTTACTTAGCTCAAGGCCTTCCCTTTTGTGTTATTGTCACTTAATGCCAGCTGCCGCGCTGGCTCTTGCGCTCCTTCGGCTAGTAATATTTATATTTCCCGCGCCTCCGCTTTCCTTCTCTTTTTTTGCCTATTGCAGTGCGTAAATGTGCGAAGGCGCGCCCCTGATCGGCGGCTGCGATCCGGTCGCCGCGCCGCACGTTGGAGGCATGGCCCACGAGGGATTGCGCGGCTGGTTGGACCCTTGTGCAGATGCTTTGCCGTCATGGCTGGGTGCTGCAGCTCTAAAAGCATGGCAGATGGGCTCTAGCGTGCGTATGGACTTGTCTTTCCAGAAGGTGGCCCTTGCCTCTACTACACCAAAAACGATGTGGCAGGAGTCTGCGACGATCGAAAACGCTGCGACAGCAGAAGGCCTTTTGGGTAATGTCGTCAGGGGGCTGGGCGTTTGTAGCCAATACATAGTGGTCAGACGGGCAGGCCCCACCGTCCAGATGCTGGCGATAACGCACTCCGTAACGCCGCCCGCCAGTAGTTTTTATTCATCCACGCGGCAGCGCTTTAGACTTACTAGGCCGACGCGGTGACGGTAAGCAGAAAGGGCGGCCGCTAGTCCCCACGCAGGCGAAGCTTGTCAGTTTGTGACGCCAAAGTGGACCCTTGTTGTCTCCCTTTTTGACACTCCTCCAAGGCGCCTCCGATCCGAGCCTCCCAAGGGTTGGGCCTCCCCTGGGGACGCTTGTAGAGTCTACAATCGCGTCGCTTGCCTTGGGTCGGCCGGGCAATCGTGGCGGAAGCAGCAGGACAGCTATGCGCCTGGAACGCGTTCCGAAGATTGTCCAGCTTGTTCCGTCTCGGCCCCCTCAGGTCGGCTGGAGCTCTAAAGGGCGGGCTGACAAATGAACGGGGGGCGGGAGGGGGTCAAAGTTTGCAGCTTGCTTTAAAGAGCTTGAGGCCCGCCTTTGGGAAAGCCGTTTGCGGGAGAGGGCCGCATGGATGAGGCACAACAACAGGCCGCCCTCCTTAAGGGCGAAGCGTTGCCGAGTGAAAATAGCAGAGGCTAGGCCTTAGCTATATTAGAGTAAGCAAAGTGCCGGGCTTCGAGTTGCTCGCGCTGCAGTGAGTTGCCTGAGATGCCGAAGCGAAGGGCTTCAATTCTGAAACGAGTTGCCACGAGTTGCAAGAAGATACCCGCCCCACCGGAATGCGGCGCAGCAGGGCAATTCGGACACGGTTTTGGCTGCGCGAAGTGGTGGCGAAGAAGTGGCTGCTTCTGTTGTTGCTCTCTCATGAGAGGGGCAGCTGGTTGCGAAGGGCTCCCCCTCGAGCCCCTCAGACTTTTTTTCTTGTAGCGTGTGGGCGCGCGTTTGAAGCGCAGGCACCAAGGGGCCGACGACTTCGACTCGTTGCTATGTTTGTTCGAGCGAAGAGAGTGTCGCTATGGCTTGTCGCTGGGCCGGTGCTGATCTCTCCCTTTTTTCTTCGGATGTCATGCGTGCGCGGCTGATGAGTGTCTTTCCCTTTTGGGGCTGCGGGTGAGTTCTTGTCTGCTTTGAAGGGCGGCCCACTCAGCTTAGAAAGCAAGGAGACTAGAGCGTCGTACGTGGCGGATGCCTTGCGTGTTTGATCAAATGGCTGGGAGAAGTTCCCCAGCTAAAGGCGGCCACATACTCTCTGCCCTTGTCGCTGGTGCGCATTAAGAAAAACGCCAGGGATCGGGGGCATGGCGTAGAGTGTCGCGCGATCTTGTTAAGGTATCTCAGAGTCTCACAAAGCTGCGCCCGAAGGGCGCCGCGCAGAGAATGAAGATGAGCAACTGACTCGAGCAACCTGAGAAGCTCGACCCGTGACGGGCCCAAAAGCTTCGGGCTCTGTTATATATATGACGGCGTAAGCGATAGACAAAGAGGCGAAGCGGGCAAGCCGCTTTTAGCTCATTTTCCATGTCCTTTGCTTAGTCCTGTAGTAGTCGTAGCTGGAGACCCCTTGCGCGTTTGATTCTAGGCGGGAAAGGCTATGGAATTATCTTCGACGCGGAGTCTGTGGCGCGCTATCTAAGAAACAGAAAGCAAGCCACTCTTGAGTCAGGGAAGGCGCAGCGGAGCAGAGCGACTCATTGAGTTGCACTGGCTGACTTCCTCAAATCTTAGACGTAGGCTTATCTGGGAGCGTCAATCTAAATTGATGTAAGTACTTAAAAGTAGTTAAAACTATCTTTATAGCGCCCATGCATTGTTGTAGTCCCGCCCCATTCGTAATTGCTTTGCCCCGATTAGGTGCGTGCAACTGGTCAACCTCAACTACGCTGACGTCCAACTACTGTGGGTTACGATAATTCCTTGTGTTGTTCAGCACATTCGGTCGGCGTATTAACGTAAAGGCAAAGCAGAGGGCACTCGTGATTCAGGTGCGGGATTTTATGATGGAGAGCGTGAGTAGCCCTGAATTAGCTGGTAGGGATCGTTGCTCTTGCTTCTAGTTCTGGAGCTGAGGCCGTTGATCGGCGTTGACTTTGCGGCCTCGCCGCTGTCCTATATCTAAGTCTATGATCGGCCACAATAAGAACTACAGAGCAGCCGCCAGACTTCTGTAACCAGCGAGCGTTGTCGCCCACGCACCAGCCGCTTCCAAAGTATGCGCTGAATCTGCTCTCCCTTAGATGTCTTTACTCTTTTGCGGCATTACTGTTACTTACAAAGTAATATACTCATCTGCGTCCTCTACAACTGACGTCAAGATGGTCGGCGAGCTATACTCTAAAAAGAGACGCGCTTCGGCCTGAGATCATAGATGATCGGTCGCAACACCTGAGCAAGAAATGAGGAACAACAAATCGGGAGAGTTTTTCATCCGTGGTTCCGATCCTCCGTGCCCTCACTTGCACTAGAGTCTTGCGTCTAGCGGCTCAGCCTTTAGTGTCCTGCTAACCCCTCGAAGCGGAAGTTTCCCGCGTAGCTTTGGATAGGAGTCCGCGCGAGCGGACTTTGACTGCCCGCGGATGCGTGGGGGCACGCGCCGTGATGGCGGCATGGAATGGGGGGAGGGCCGCGTGGCCTACGACTGCGTCGTGACGCCTACTTACCCGGGGCGCCTGCGGCGTGCCCGGGGTCGCCCGCTTCGATGTTGGGACTTGCTGACGCTGTAGGCCCAGCAAAATTATAATGGCAGACTGCCAGGCTGTACGTAGAAGGAACTACTGGAAGAGACTCAAAACAGCCGCGAGCAATTGAGTGGGCCGGACATTATGCCGCATACCTCCTCACCCCGTACCCAACCGCCTAGAGGCGCAGAGGCGTGCATCATTCCAAAGGGCTCAGGGGCTGCCTGGAGCCAGTTGAGGCTGTAGTGAGAAGGCCTGCCACGAATCATGGCGCGCCATCGCGATCGCCTTAGACTTCTCAAAGAACCCGCAGACCAGAGAGAGGAGGACGGCCGGAAAGGGTGGAAGAGCCACAAGAACAAAGACGGGCGGGGAGTCAGTGGCCCCATCGGCTTGGGGGATCTGGTGGAAAGGGTAACGGCAATCACCGAGACAAGCACGCCGAAAGGTAGGCGCTGAAGTGGCAAAACTGTGAAGGCCATGCTATAGCAGCGCGCCGCGGTGTCCTGGGCAGACTGACTAACGCGTGACACAGTCGGGGCCAGCGTCGGCGGGTGGCGTGTTGTGGCTCTTTGTTGCCAGTCTTTTGGCATTATCTGCCTTGGCTCATCCTCACGCATGCATCCCGTCCCGTGTCACCTTGACCCACATTGGGTCGCATTGGCTCGCACCCCCTCTCTCTTGGGCACTCTCTGCTTTGGTTAGTAGACTGGCACGGAGCTGGTTCGCGCGCTTCGATGGAGAGGGCGGCCACGCTGCAGCTTCCAGACCGCGCGTCTGGGGTGGGGCTGGTGTGGCGCTCCAGGGTTTTTCTGGTGTAGTCTTTGCTTGTTGGTTTGCTTATTGGTCTGGGGCTCTGCGTGCGTGGTATGCATGGTGGCGGATGCCGCGGTCGGTTATGGTGATGAAGTCCCCGGTCCTCTTTTTGTGGTGTAGTGCCTTCGCCTTGTTGTCCCCACCTTGGTGCGCCTTGTCTACGAGTATGCCAGCGCGGCGTCTGCGGGTGGCAGGTGGCGCTGCGGGCGATTCGCGTGCCGTTGGCATGGTAAATGGCGGTCGGGAACCGAACCAAACGGAGGCGATTGGTGGCCCGTCGAGGGTCGGTCAGGAAGGGACTCGGAGCAGGGTAGAGGCCAAGCCTGAGTGCGCTGCTGGGGCCGCACAACCTGGGAAGCCCCAGCATGTTGTGTTTTATTTCGGGAAGGCCACACAAGGCAAGGGCGACGCATTGCGGCGAACAATAGAGGCGAACGCCGCGGCCCAGTGGGTGGCGCTTCGTCACCGTTTTGGCGCGCGCTTAGTCGTTTTGGACTTCGGAGCGATCTGGGCGCGCCATAATGAAGCAACCCGAGAGGCAGCGTCACGACTTCGCTTCTCAACCACGCAGCGGGTGCCAGTGCTTTCGTCTATGTATGAGGAGGCGCAACGCCTGTGTCCCGACGCTGCAACTTATACCTATGTGAATGCTGATATAGTTTTCCTTGGGCCTTCCTTAGTAGTCACTGCGGATCGCCTCGTCGAGGAGTCCAGAAGTGGTTCTGGCCTCTCGACGAGGTTTCTCGCAGTAGGCAGCCGGCGTGATTTTAGTTGGCGGCCTGGGTGGCGATGTGATGCCCAGGGCTTCAATGGTGCGGTGAATGCTGCGCAGGCATGCGGCGAGTCTAGTTGGGACGCAAAAATTTACTCCGGCCGTGGAAGTGACTTCGCTGACGGTGATGGCGGTTCTTTTCGGCTGGGTGACATCTATCGCCAGGCGCAGGATGCGGGCGTCTTGGCGCAGGACTATTTCATTGCCTCGCGGGGTATGGCTGTGCCTCCTCTTGGGTGGTGTTATTGTACATCTCCAAGAACGTAAGGCCCATGGTGGGATAGGTTAAAGCCTAGCGCTGCCCCTGTGTCAGGTCGCTGCCAGCGCTCTGAGCGATTTGCACTGCCGACGCCCCTGAGGCGCCACCGCCAGGAGGCAGCTTCTCGTAGGTTCGTAAGGGTGGCTGACGTTCTCCCGCCTCAAGGTTCAGGCACGCCCGTCGATGTTGGTCTTCTCGTGGGAGTTCGTGCTTGCGGTGCCCGCTCTTCGTGTCTTGGTGTGCGGGAGGTGTATTCCGCACCCCCGGTCGGAAACGCGCGCGCAGGCTGCTCCCATATTTTGCTCAGGCTTTGCCTGTTATGTTGCCAGCTTTTTGCCAACTTTGACGCACATTCATCTTGCCAGCCTTTTCGCAGCTTCTGTGCAGTTGCTGCCAGCTCACTGTGGCGCATGTGGATGACCGAAAGAGAAACGAGCGAGAACACGCCCCGGCCTTTTCGCTTGTTTTTCCGGTCATCCGTCTGCCTAAAAAGGTCGCGGGCTTTGTACGGGCTGAAAGAATGCGTAAAACTTGGCAAGGCTTGTGCAATAGTTGGCAATCGTTGGAGGCGCGTGCCCGCTGGCTGCTGCGTAAGCCTGCTGCACGGGTGACGAGCCCGCCGGCCTTTTGTCCATGTTTTCCCCATTCTCTGCCCGTGCGTCAGTCTGACTTTTTCTTTTGCTCATCTGCTGCCCAGCGTCCTTTTGCTATGTATGTGTGTGAAAAGTTTCGCAGACTTTTGCCAACTTTTGCCAGCCCTTACCAACAGTGCAAAACGGATTCAAGCCACCCAGAAAAGGAGGGAGAAGATACGGAACGAGGGCAGCCTTGTTAGAAAGAAGAGGGGTGGGACGTTATAGCCGTTTGGAGGGTTTGGGTTCGTCGGGGGATCGGTTCTGGTGTTCTGCTTGAGCGGGTTAGTCGCGGCCTGTGGGTTCGCGCGCGTGTGTGTTCCTTTTTCGGTGCCATTTGTCGCCTAGGCAGCGGCGCCGCACGCTGAAGCGCTGGACTGCACCTAGGGCAGGGCTTTGTTGGCTGGGTTATTGTGGTTTTGGCTACCGGCTTGCCCAAGATTTACAGCGGGCGGAGCCCTCAGTGATGCGCGCGTCTTCCGTCGCGCATTCTCTCTGCGCCGGTCTGCCTCAGTGCGCGGTCGTGCTTTGTATGTTGGGCATGGCTTTTTCGGCCTGATAGACTGTTTAGTACGGTTCGGGAGGGCTCTTGCTTTTTGACGCAAGTTGGCGCTTGCTGGTGGCCTCGGACTCACTCCTCGAAGCGCGGGCCCCCTTCTGATGATGCCCACAGGACCTGGGGGAGGCTTTGGCAGGGTTTAACTGCTTATCTGGAAGTCTGATTCGCGTTGGGGCGGGCTTGGTGTTGGTGGTCGTCTTCGTCATGGGCCCCCGGCATTGTTTTCCAAAAGCAGCGCGCAGGGCGCTGCGCAGGTGGTTTGGCTGCCGTTTCTCGTTGCTTGGCTTTCGGCTTGTGTTCGATCGGTTTGAAACTCGACCAGGGCATGGGCTCTCACAGCGCTACCGGGCTCGGGCAAGCCAGCTTGCCGCTTTGGTGACAGAAGAGGGGGTGGCGCAGCGCTTTTTTAAAGGCGGAGTGTATTCCCGTGCCAGTGGTTTCGTTTCGTTCTGTGCCACTACTGGGTGTCGGTGGGTCGGGTTCTTGGTCGGTGAATAATAGCGCCCCGCTTCTGAGAGTCATAGGAAGCCTCTGGGATTGGCGTGCTTCGATCCCGGAATTTATTATCGGTCGCGTTGGTTTTGATAACTGGTTAGTTGACCATGCTTTCCACCTTGCCCCAGCAGTGTCCCTTGTCGATGTGTCTCGAAGTGTCATGGCCTTGCACCAGAGCGACGAGAAGGGCAGCTTCTCGGGTTTTCAGGCGCCAGACACGCATTGGAATTACAAGATCGCAGCGAGACACGCAGAGCGGAATAGACTGCCACCGAATTATTTTGCACACGGTGCTATATCCGGGGCGCCGTGGTCTTCTGCTCTACAAACAGTGAACGGCACCGCCTGTCTTCAGGTCGTTCTCAAGCGCGGAAACCTCCGAACGAGATGAACAAGAAGCAGCTCGCGTCGCGGCTGGTGCTATCCATCATGAAGCGCCCCGATCTTCGCGCCCGTTGCCAGCGCCTCGCCCCCAGCTTGGTGCATTAGCATACACCATCACGTCTGCCACATTATCCACACCAGAAACCAGGGAGAAAAAACGCCCGCGAAGCGGTGAAGAATACCGGCACGCGCAGGCCATGACTGAGCGCAACCAAGCGCAAAGAGGTCGCGAGCGCTTCTGAGTATCCCCGTCGGCTATTGTATTCGGCCTTGGGTGAGGCGGTGGCGCGCGGGTGTCTTTTCTCTTGCCAAGGGGGCCACGTGAGTGCGCACGCGTAAAGTGAGGGCGGAGGAGGGGCTGACGCAGTCGCAAGGCCTGGGGCCCATCGGTCCCCTTCATTCTGGCGGACGCGGCCCCGGCTGGGATTGGGGTTCTCTTCGGGTTAGAGAAGTCGGCGCGCTGAAGTCGCGGGCGGCTTGTCCCGCACCTTTATCCCCAGGCAGCGCTTGGCCTCTGCCCCTTTCGCCCCGCTCTCGTGTCGTCTTGCAGGTGTGTGCGCTAGTGTTCTGGCGTGGGAGGGCTCTGAAGTCATTTATTTGATCAGTAGATCAGCAGCATCTGGGCTACCACTTTAAAGCGATATCTTCAAGCCTCTTCGTTTGGAGGTTATCGAAGTGAAAAGCGTTCTCATTCCCAAAAGCGGCACGCTGAACCTGAAACTGCACGGAAGGCCGCCATCGCTTGAGTCGGACCGCTCTGGGCTGTGCCGTCGGTGCGGTGGGCTAGTTTGTTCGCGGGGGCAATGCGTGTCACCTCTGTCTGCTTCCACTTGCTGAAGCCGTCCAAGCCGGGCCAGGGTGAGGGTGTGCAAGGGATAGCCCCAGGGCGCGACCTGGCGCACGTGACTCGATGACTGAGTGGGGCCAGCGGCTTCGCGGAGAACCTTTCTCAGCCTCTCGCTCTCCGCCTGGCGATGGGTCGGGCCTTGCCGTTGGTGGGTGCCAGAACCAGAAGAAGGCGGCGCCTGAAGGGCCTTGAGAAAGGATTTTGGCGCCCGAGTGTCAAGCCGATTTCGCCAGCTGGATCCTGGCCCCACGGTATCGCAGGGTTTGGTCGCAGGGTGGTGCAAAATGTCCCAAAGTAAATAAATGGGATTTGTAACAAGCGTCGGGGCTCCCGTTTCTTGCATCTTCTTCCAAATTGTGGCAGGAGCAGGCCCCGCGCCCCCTGAGTGCCGCCCCTCCGCTCGGAGGGTCCGGATCGCCGACGAGAGCGGCCCTACGAAGCGGCGCTGCCTCTTGAAGGTGCCGCCATTGCGACAGCCCAGCCGCCTGAGGAGGGGCCCAGCATGGTGCAGCCTGTCCATTCTCCGGCTACGTGAGCAGCAGCGGCGCAGCTTGGTGTCCTTGCGTAGGTTTTTCCCCCTTCTTCGTCGTGTAATAAATTGTCGCGCATCCAGTGCATGCCAATGGCAGCACTTCGGCTTCGCAAACTTCTCTTCTTGTTTTTGAAGACGAATCAATGAGAAGGGACGCCTTTCACTTCAATAGTGGCTAGGGGCTAAGCCGCTGCAGACTTGGCGCTGATTGAAGATAGGAGGCGAATGCAAAAGTGAGGCACTTTGTCGTTGGGCATTTTTCAAAAAAGCCGCCCCATTTTTCATCTCCTCCGGCGGGGCGGGGCGGGTTCGTTTCGGGGTTGTTTGGGGCGGGGGTGGCGGAGGGCTCGTTGTCATCGGGTGGGGCTCGTCTGGTGACCTTCTAAAACCTCTCCTGAAATTCGTTCTAAACTTTTTGGCGGTCTTCGTTCGTAAAGGGAACAGCTTTGAAAAACGAGCGGGCAAAGCTATGGGCTTTTTCCTCGTGTGTTTTCGCTAGCGCGTCGCCCGCGTTTCGCTTTTGTCCCACTTTAGACTGCTGGACGACCCCGGGGGGTGTCATGTATGCACCAGGAAGGGACGCCTACCCCGCGTCCCCCCTTAAGGTAGACAACGCGGGCCCCACAACGCTGTCGGGGGCTTATTGCCGTTCTGATTTCTATAAGGGCATCCCGTGAAGCACATGCAGGCTGGTCATTTTCAAAATTGAAAGACCTCGGCCGCCTTCATCTGTCTTTTTGTTTGTTCTTTTTGGTTGGCCCATTAAACCAAACCAACCCAACCCCACTCAGCTTGACTTGGTTCAGCTTAACCCATCTCAACCTAACCTCAACGCAGCCGGGCACCGTTTGGCTGGAAAAATTTTCTCGCCACTGCCACGGGCTGCTTGTCGAAATCTGTCGCACCGCATGAGCCTGCTCACCTTAGTCATTCCGAAAATGGATTCTGGTGGAGTCTCGGAGTCAGCCCGCGCCAGGATACGCAAAGAAGGCTCCTGCTGTAGAGTCGGCCTGCCTAGTCAGCCCTACTAACTTGCTAAGGCCTAGCGCATGTCTTATACATATTTTCGACAGCACTTCAGCGCTTTTGCTGCAAATGTGTAGTGCGGATTGCGTCTGAAAACCCTCTGGGATTTTCCTGGAGGAGCTCTTTGCGGCACTAGACTTCGACAGCACAGCGAAGGCAACTGAGCTGCCTCGTTGTTATATATTGCACTCAAAACGATCAAGGAGAGGAAAAGAGAACGAAGGGGAACCAGCCTGGAAAAAGATGGAATCCATTGGGGGCCGACGTGAATGGCCTGACACCACCCCGCGCAACGCCTTGCAAAGACAAAAGCCCCGCGCGGTTTTTTCTAAAGTTTGGCCGTTTTGCTTTTTTTCGCCGTGCCTTTGTTTCGGGGATTGTCGCTGCCTCGCTGGGGTTGGTTCGTTGTGGTGGTTCTTTCTGGGGGTGATAGATGTTGCTTGCGGTTGGGTGTTTCTGAAACGGGTGCCCGGGTAGAGTCGGCCAGCCGGCAGCGACGTCGGGCTCCGGGTGCGTCGCGGTGGCCATTGCGTCGCCGCGTCGATTCCTCGCGGGAAGTCGGGGGCCTCGCTTTTCGGGCGTCGGTGATGGCCTCTTGTTGCTGCAGCTGCTCTACCTACGGGAACAGGGCCGGCGCTTGGGGTCATCGATCGGTCTGGAACGGGGCCGACTTTGTTGTCGGCGGGTGGAAAAAAGAGCAGGGGCAGGCTATGAAATACATTCGCGCCTCGAGGGGTAATACCCCGGGGGGCTGAACATTTGCAACCCCAAAAGCCCACAAGCCCACCGGAGCAGGGTCCCGCCTGAAAGCGTAGCGCTTTGCTTTTGCTTGGTCCGAGAGAGGGTCTTGCCCATTTGAAGGCCGCGCGCGCTTTGATAGATATGAGACGCCTTGCGGGCGGCCTGTGTCGCGCTGGCTGTCTGCCTCGTGTTTGGCTCGTGCTCTTTCGGGCGAAGCTCGTGAACGAGGTGCGGGCACCATGCCAATGCCGAGCAGATGGCCCCTGCCCCCTGAGGGCCGTAGTCTACTGCCGACGCTGGTTAGCTCAGTGACATCTCCTGCAGTTGCCGGGCTTTCTTCTTGTCTTCCGGTGGTGTATTGGGTCAGGCTGTGCCCCTCCATCTTTTTCCCCTCGCTGAGTATCGAGGAGGAAGCTCAGCCTTAAGCAGGTGAAGAGCAAAGAGTCCGCGAGCAGGTTTCCTCGGCTGGGTCTCTTGCCGTTTAAGTTCGTGTGCAGCTGTTTCCGCTTCCGTTTTCGTGTGGTTCTTGTGCGTGGTGTGTTAGTTGGTGCATGATTGTCGCGCGCTGCTCTGCCTTGCTCTCGTGTGTCTTTTTCTGGTGTGTCTGTGTTCATCCCTTGGCCTTTTTCCCCACCGCGTTTCTTTTTCTTTGTTGCCAGCCTTGGCACGGTCTGACATGCATTGCACCCCGCGACACCTTGGCCCACCTTAGTGCGCAGTCGTCTTCCCTCTACTCTCTTGCGCTTTCTCTGCTTGAGTAGATTGGTTTGAAGCTGGTGCGCGCGCTCGGGTTGATTACCTGGCACGCTGCAGCTTCCAGGCCACATGGGCGGGGTGGGGTTGGCGTAGTGCCCCATCTTCGTGCCTGTTCGTTGAAGCTTAGACGCTCGCTGGCGAGTGTGGTCAAGTGGTCTGCTTCTTGGGGCTTTCTTCTTCTTGTTGTGAGAGGAGCAGCTTCGCCAAGGGTTCGGGGCTATCTTGTGCATCAGATACAGGGAGAAACCCACCACGCCAAGCAGCTATGACGACAGCAGCGCAGTTAGTCGCGAGCTTTCAGGTCAGACTTTCGCGGCGCTCCTTGTTGCTTGGTGCTCCATTCCAAGGGAAAGCGCTACAAAGAGCCGGGTTTGAATTGTTGGAAATTTTATTGAAGCGTGCCGCGGTTTTCTGCGTTTCGTCCTCTTTTTGCGGCTCGTCTTTCGGCTGCTTAGCTGGGGATGGATCTTGGCGGCGCCGGGTCGGACTGCGTTGGCGGATAGTGGTCTTGTACCGCCGTCGTGTGGATGGTTGACGCAGTTTTTTTTCTGTTATATATTGGGTCTGTGATCAAATTAATGGCGGCGTTTTTGAGTGTGTTACTGGTGTGTTATTAAGTGACTCAAACCCGCCGCGGGCGTTGTGCATTTAGCCCAGCAGAACCACAGCACAAAGCCCCCGCAGGGCGGCGCCCTACAGTACGTGCAGAGGCTGCTCTCGCAACCCAACGTAGGCAAGGCAGAGAGCCGCCGACCGAAGTCTTGTCATGTCTGGCCTTGCGCAGCACAAAGGACCACCTTGCCGATGTGGGTTGTCGAATTCAGCGCTTACAGCCACGCACACAGACAGCGCACGCACTCCTACCCACGCCTGCGCACGGTCCCACGCGCTCACGCACTCCTGCCGCGCGCGCGTCTCCACACATACCGCCACACAGGGGCCCGCCCCCAAACATGCGCCCCGAACCACACGCGCCCGACACACCTGCGCCCCGGCGCACACGCGTAACGACACACACGCACCCCGACACGCACGCGCCTCGATGCACACGCACCCCGACACACACGCGCCACGAAGCGAATGCGCCTCGACACACACGCCGCCACACGTCCGTGCCCACATGCTCCCGCCTGCGCGCTCCCTCCCGCCCATACGCTTCCGCCCGTCATCCGTTTTGTGTCCGCGCGTTCTGGGGTCTAGTTGCTGGCTCTTTTTAGCTGAAAGCGAGGCATACCAGGCGGGTGTAAAAATTAGTCTTGAGCGAAAACTACGCCTAGGTCGGGGCTTAAGATTAGGGGGCTTAATTTGCACTAAGCCGAGTTTTTGTGTGTTAGAAGCGAGGCCGGTCTAAAAGAGATGAGGCTCAATAAAAGCGAGGCCTAAAGAGAGCACTAGCTTTCGCTGGGATTTCTTTAAGCAATCTTAAATAATGGAAAAAGGTAGGGCTTGTTTTAGGCCTCGTTTTACGAAAATGCCCCACCTCTGACTTCGCTCGCAACTCACTGCGCCGCGTGTTAGTACATGTCTGGCGCTGGCACCGCTCTGGCTGGTCGAGCTTTGGTCATGGTGCAGGGCGCGGCGCTCGTGGCTTCGATCGGCGCGTGACAGTCGCAAAAAATTCGGGGCTTTTTAGTGCGTGAGGCGGCCTTGATGTCAAACGAGTGACGCCCGCGCGCTCCATAGCGGTCGCGCCCGTGCGTCTGCGTGTTCTGTCGTGCCCACCGACCCGCTTGCGCGCGCCCGCGCGCCCACATGTCCGTGGCCGCACGTCTTGGCCAGGGTGGGGCTAGATTTATTGTGGCCCAGGTCCACGGGGATGGGGCTTCGGCTTTGCGCAGTCTATGGCTTAGAGAGGGTCGCGGGACAAACGGTGCGCAAAGATGGGCGCCCGCGACGGGCACGCCTTGGCGAGCGTGTATGCTTTTGGCCTGGATGGCTGGTAGGTTGGCGCCAGAGAGACTCGGCGGCAGCTTTGCTGCAGCTGCTCCCGTCACAGTATCTACCAGGGACGCCGGAAAAACCGAGCGCACGAACCCGCCGCAAGTGCTGCGTCGATCTCATTTCTTGGAAAGGGGTCAGCAATTGCGCTTGTGTCTGTGTGCCTTTGGCCTTTTCACGATATATGTTGTGAACCCTAAATGAAAGCGAATCAATGGGCAAGGCGTTGTTGCTTTTCTCGTTCTCACTGCTTTCGGCGGGCTTGCGGCTGCCATTGCGTTGCAGCTACGAGCATCGGGGCGCCGGTTTCATCTGGGATGCCGACGCCCGTGATTTGGGAGCCGTCGTAGAGGTTCGAACCCTTGGGGTACTTCAGCTGTTTCCGCCGAGGTTCTGGATGTCGACGGCGGTTCTAAACCAGCTGAGCCAGAACCGCCGTCCAGCTTATAGAAGCTTGGCCGCTGCGATGAGGCAAAGGAATAAGGCAGAGAAACGCCGCCCCAACGCCTGGCAGGCCAAGATTTGGCGTCGAGGTTCTGGCCTCCATGAAAGGCTGTGCGTCGTCGGCTGACAAGGGTCTCCGGCGATTGCGGGCGCCTTCTTCCAGGCTTGCGCGTGGGGAGGAAGAAAGCAGGCTGCTGCCTTCATGCTCTACAAACCTTCCCACCACCGCAGGGGCAGGCAAGCACGCAGAGGCGGGCGCCACCGTATGGAGGGAGTGGGAGGCCGTTCAGCGTTTTTGGATATTGCTCTGCTGCGCTCGCGCCTTATCGAGAAGCCTGCGCGCCTTGGCGTCGGGAATGGGCCGCGCGCCTTCGCAAAATGCACGCCATGCAGCTCAGGAACGCATGACGCAGGCAGCGGCTTGCGGCTCCATTCGTCCGCCGGTCTCGCTCGGCTTGACGATGGGCAGGCGCCTGCGACCGGGGCCCTGCGACTTGCTCGGGGGCTTCCGCGTCTTTTTCTCCAGCCAAATTGGTCCCCAGAGTTTACACCAAGGGCTGCCAGATAACTAAGACCACCGACCGAAGCAGGCCTCAGGGGTTAGATTTTGGAGACCCCAGAACAAGAGGGGCCGGGGCGGGGGAGTGGGTGCACCCGCGCTTGGGGGGTGGGCTGACTGGCAGTGGGGTGCGCCCGAATGTTTTGAGGCTATGGAGAAGCAAGGGCCGATCAAGTCTTCATATAGGGCGCTTGGGCTGCAGGCACCTGGTTTGTGTCTGGATCGTGGACGGCTCAGGGGCTCGCTTTTTCCGCAATGTCTCTGGCCTTGGTAGTGTATCGGGGTGGCTGGTTGTAAATTGTGCCGCGCTTGGGTCTTGGGATTTCAAGTTTTTGCCGAATTTCTCGGCAGTGGTAACGACCGACAGCCCCAAGCCCCAGCGCGAGTGCCTTGGGTGAGGCTCTCTCACTCTCTCTCGGGTGCTTCGGGTGCGGCGCTCTCAAGTGCTTGGGGTGGTGCGTTCTTAAGTGCATGGGGCTGGGGCAAGGCGCTCGCAAGTTCTTCGGGCAAGGCACTCGCAAGCGCTTTGGAGAAGGCGCTCGCCAGTGCTTTGGCCAAGGCGTTCCCAAGGGCCTTCCCCGCTGCTGCCATTTATGGGAGTGCCTTGCAGCCCCTGAAGAGGTTGCGCTTTTGTTGGTGGTGTGGGTGTGCTGCGTGTTTGTCTTTGTGTATTGTTCTGCTCTCTTTGTTTTGCGCTTTGGCTGTCTGGTGGTTGTTGTCTGTGCATGACATGGCAAAAAGTAAAAGACCCCGCTGGCGCTCTTCTCGGTTGGATTGCCTCGTCGCTTCTGACTTCGGTCTGCCTTCTAGGGTGTGTCTCTCGTCTCTTTCTGCTCCGGTGTGGTTTTGTGATGCGTGGAGCGGGCATGCCAAGCGCCAGCTGCACAAGTTGCAGCGGGGTGCTTTTGGTTTTTGTGTGGCAGTGGGTTTTTTTGTTGCCACTTGCCAGTGGCTTGGTCAGGAAGTTTCGTCTCGCATAGTTCTGCTGCTGATGACCCTCGTTGTGCTTGTGCGCGTGGCGACGGCAGTCGGGCACAGAGGCTGTTGCGCTTGGAGAGGCACCTCGCAGCCTCCACGGCCTCGTCGTGTGCGCTGCGTGATCCGCAGGGCTCAGGCCCTCCCGTAGGGCTTGCAGAGTCGTGGAAGGCGCAAGAGGGTGAGGACAGATGGATGTATCTGAACTTGTATCACGGGCGCCGCGGGAGGAGTCATGTTGTCGTCGAGATGGGAGCCCTTGACGGCTTGAGGTTCTCTAACTCGTATGCGTTTGAATATGAACTGGGCTGGCGGTCAGTTTTAATCGAGGGGTCCGCAGGAAATTTTGCCGCGCTGCAGAAAAACAGGCCTAATGCGACTGCGATTTTTGGCGCTGCATGTGCAAAGGTGTCGACGATAAAGATCCCTGGGTCGGTATGGGGAGAAGAAGCGGCCTCAGCCTCAAAAACTTGGAGTCGATCTCTTATTTCTTTGCTCCTGGGGTGTAGTGGGCGCGCTTTGCTGCGTGCTGCAGTGCTGTCACCAAGAACAAAGAGGCAGCCACCCAGGTGAAGCACACCGAGAGCCAGGCAAAGACCTAACCAAACGGAGAGAAATTTGTGGCGACACTCAGCGAGGACAGGGGGGGCTGCCAGGTTTAGTCGTGGCTGGTTTGGGGCTCGGCTGTGCGGGGGGGCAACCACGGGAAAGAGGTCGACTGTTAGCCGCTTGAATGGCGCATGCGTGTGAGTGCTTCGCGCGTATTCGTGACTCGCGGTTGGGGGTGTGGCATCGGTGCCACAAAGTCGCTGGCCACACTTTTGCGTGCATCGCTCACCGATGAACTTACGCCCGCTGTGGGGCCAGTGAACCGATCCGCCACCCAGGAACTTCAGGGCCAAGCGCGTGGGCCCAGCCTGGGGCTGAGGGCTGACGGGACAGGCCGACGCCGCTCGTCGACTCCGCGGCCACTCAGGCCGAGGTTGCCTGGCTTGCTTGCATTGGTGAAGGGAGGTCGCGTGCCTTTCTTTCGGGCCCACCTCCTTCACTGACACTGTCTGACAACCACGGGCGCCCCAGGCGCGTCTATGGCTCTTCACGAGATCTTTCAGGGGCAGTTGGCGCGACCGCTGCAAGAGGCTGCCAGGCCTCCGGGCTAGTGCCACAGGGAGGCGCTGCAGACCTTCACGCACGCTCGCCGGCCATGATGGATTTGGGCTGCCTGCGATCTTTGTGGTGCTTGGTGTTGATACGCTCAAAAGAAAAGGCATGCTGACTGCAAACCGATGCGGCTGAGGCGGCTTCGCGTGTCTGCTCATCCGCAGGCCCGACAGCCAGCGCACACGACGGGCCTGCCAGCACGGGGGACACCCCCTGCATGCCAATGAGTATGCTTTTAGGAAGGGCGGGCGTGGATCGCGTGGATTTTTTCTCTTTGGATGTTGAGGGAGCGGAGCTTGCAGCGATCGAGTCGCATGACTACATGAGAGTCCCGGTGAACGCGTATTTGATCGAGATGCGGCCGAATGCTGCTGAAGCAGAAAAGAACTCAAGAGTGAGGAAAGCCCTTGCTGACCGTGGATTTTGTCGCTTGGCAGTGAATGTCGGACACAAAAACGAGGTCTGGGTCAGTTCGAAATGGGTGGAGCCTTAGTAGAGGACAGGCAGCGGCGTGTCGCTCATGCTTTCCCACGTTGGAAGCCTTTCGGCGTCTGCGGCAGAGCTTTGCTCGCAGCTCTTCGCCCACCCCTTGCCGTGAACTGTTTGGCTGGGTGCAGCTTTCACGCTTCGGCGGTGAAAAGCGACCATCGGTTCCCGATCAATACACAGCGACCGCGCGTTGTGCTCGTACGTGTTTTGGTCGATTGCATTACCAGTGCCCCCAGGCTTTCAAGAGCCAAAAAGCCTGCCCACGAAAGACAGCTGCGCACGCAGGTGAGCAACCTTGCCAGCTACTTGCTTGGTGGTGTACTTATCTAGTGGCACTCTGATAAAGATCGTCGGGGAAAGGTGTCGCCTGTGATTGGTCTTAAGGATTTCCGAAGGCTTGTGCCTGCGGGGGGCGGGTAGCAGGATCGAGAGAAATGACCCCACGAACTTGCGGAGACGCTTTTCGCGTAGCTCCGTTCGGGCTGGATTCGGGTGCCGTCTAGGTTCCAACTGAACTCTCGACAAGTGTAGCTGGGAGAGGCGACTGCGGTGCTGGGCTGGGTTCGAGCTGGATGGGGTGGGGCTGTGTATGAGGGCGCAGGCTGGTGCAGGCTTGGCGAAGGGTGTGAGGAGAGAGAACGGAAGGAGGAGAGGCGAGGCGGCTGCGGTGGCGTGAACGGATAAGGCAGTCCGCGCCGCCGTCGTGGTGCGAGCGAGCTGGCCTTTCGCCATCGCCAGCGTCGGAGCGCGCCGCGAAACGTACCCGACCAGGCGCCGCGCGAGCGGGCCAGCAAGTGCGCCCGTGCGGGCGCCTCGGTGTGCGTGGGTGGGTCACTATTTGTGCCGCGGTGCGCGGGAGCTTTGGTTTGCTTCGGAGTGCGAGTGCTTCGGCGCAAGTGCGTCCGTGTGGGTGTGTCGCTGTGCTTGTGGGCGTGTCGGTGCGGGGGCGCCGGTGTGGGTGTGGGTGTACTTGTCAGTATGGATGCGTCTCTGTGGGTCGGTGCGACTGTGAGGGCCGGCGCGACTGTGAGGGCCGACGCGTCTGCGCGGGTCAGTGCGTCTGTGCGGGTCCATGCCTCTGTGCGAGTCAGTGCGCCGCTGCGGGTCAGTGCGTCCGTGCGGGTCTGTGCGTCTGAGCGGGTCGGCGTGTTTGTGCAGTACGGTGTGTCTGTGCGGGTCGGTGCGTGTGGCTGCGTCTGTGCGGGACGGCGGAACGGTGCGGGTGTGTCTTTCTGGGTGCATCTGTGCGGGTGTGTCGATGCGGTTGTGCTTGTGGGCGTGTCGATGCGGTTGCGCCTGTGTGGGTGTGCTTGTGTGTGTGTGTGGGCGTGTCGAAGCGGTTGCGCCTGTGTGGGTGTGCTTGGTTGTCGTGTGTTCCGCCTGTGTGTGTGTGTGTGGGTGGGCGTGTCGAAGCGGTTGCGCTTGTGTGGGCGAAGTGGTTGCGCCTGTGTGGGTGTGCTTGTGTGAGTGTGGGTGGGCGTGTCGAAGCGGTTGCGCCTGTGTGGGCGAAGCGGTTGCGCCTGTGTTGTGGGTGGGCGTGTCGAAGCGGTTGCGCCTGTGTGGGCGAAGCGGTTGCGCCTGTGTGTGTGTGCTTGGTTGTGTGTGTGTGCTTGTGTGTGTGTGTGCTTGGTTGTGTGTGTGTGTGTGCTTGGTTGTGTGTGTGGTGTGTGTGTGTGCGTCGAAGCGGTTGCGCCTGTGTGGGCGAAGTGGTTGTGCCTGTGTGGGTGTGCTTGTGTGGGTGCGGGCGTGTCGAAGTGCTTGGTTGTGTGTGTGTGCCTGTGTGTGTGTGCTTGGTTGTGTGTGTGTGTGTGCTTGGTTGTGTGTGTGGTGTGTGTGTGTGTGTGTGCGTCGAAGCGGTTGCGCCTGTGTGGGCGAAGTGGTTGCGCCTGTGTGGGTGTGCTTGTGTGAGTGCGGGCGTGTCGAAGCGGTTGCGCCTGTGTGGGCGAAGCGGTTGCGCCTGTGTGGGCGAAGCGGTTGCGCCTGTGCTGTGTCTGTGTGTCGTGTGCGTGTCGTGTGCGTGTTGTGTGCATGTCGTGTGCGCGTCGTGTGCGCGTCGTGTGTGCGTCGTGTGTGCGTCGTGTGTGCGTCGTGTGTGCGCGTGTGTGCGCGTGTGTGCGCGTGTGTGTGTGTGTGTGTGCGTGTGTGTGCGTGCGTGCGTGCGTGCGTGTGTGTGCGTGTGTGCGTGCGTGCGTGCGTGTGTGCGTGCGTGCGTGTGTGTGCGTGTGTGCGTGTGTCTGTCTGTGTGTGTCTGTCTGTGTGTGTCTGTCTGTGTGTGTCTGTGTGTGTCTGTCTGTGTGTGTGTGTCTGTCTGTGTGTGTTTGTCTGTGTGTGTCTGTCTGTGTGTGTCTGTCTGTGTGTGTCTGTCTGTGTGTGTCTGTCTGTGTGTGTCTGTCTGTGTGTGTCTGT